CAATATATAATATTCTGGCAACAACTTAATATGATGGATAACGATAAGAATAATATTAATATGATAGACTCAAAACTGCAGACAATAAGCTTTCGACCGGTTCCTTTCATCCCCCCAACATCCAGAAGTTTGGTTCGTGGCACTTGAATCTCAATTCCAGATCCGCCGCATAGCCAACCAACGGTTCTGGAATGTTTACACGTGGATCACTTAACCGTTGTTCGTGAGGTTGTCCTCAATTCAAACGTACCAAACGTTTACGATCGTCTCAAGGAAGCAATCCTCCCGTCAGGAGAGGAACGATTGAGGACCTTGTTAGCATGTCAACCTATGGGTGATGCTAAACCGAGCCACTACCTCACACGCCTGCAATCTTTTGCAGGAAATACGACAGCTGACTCAGAGATTGTCAAAGAACTGTGGCTCGAGTTTCTTCCATCTAGTATCCAACCAACCCTTACGGCTCTGCTCGAGGACACCCCATTCAACAAGGTGGCCCTCATAACAGATAAGATCCTAGCACGAACTAGCATCCGAGAAAACTGCATAGTTGCCTGAACATCGCATTCAAACATCGACCTCGATGCTAGGTGACATACGGCTCGTGGGGATAGTGATAAGTGTATCCACACCCGTATCAGCTTCCGAGACCGATCTAATGTGCCAAAACCCTGCATTTCCCGACTCAGATCACGTTCCGTAACGGCCGTAACAACTCGCTTTAAGCGGGCATCTTCCAAGCCACGCCAAAAAGCGGTTTCGGAAGCGAGTTCAGGTCGGTACTGGTTCCACCGTGCCTTCAAGGCCGGCGCCCGCCATTGTCGATCTCCCTGCTCATACAAGGGGGGTAACTCCTGAGCCGGCGACTAAATGTTGCCATACTCGCCGGTCCTTGACCTCAGGTTGGACGTTTATTTTTTGTGCATGATTATCGCACTAACGCTAGGTACCTTGTGGATACAGGTGCCCAAGTTTCTGTCGTACCGATTGGTAACAGCAAAACTCAATCCAGCATGCTTCGACTACGCGCTGCGAATGGCTCAGTCATTCCTATCTATGGTACACGACAAAGTATGGTCAACCTGAGCAACTGACGGCAGTATGTGTGAACGTCTATCATCGCTGATGTTCCCACAGCCATACTCGGTATCGATTTCCCACAGCACTACGAATCGCTAGTCGATTCACGTAGGCTGCAGCTAATCGATACTTCGTCGAACAGCGAATCCATGGGCTTTAAATTTCAAGCAAACGACTACTGAATCAGAGGCATATTTCATTCGCGTGACTATATATTTCACGCTTTATTCCAGAAATCTCCCCAATTAACTAAACCTTTCGAGGAGATCCAACTGGTAACCAATCATGTGGTACACAACATAGTAGTTGGCGGACTGCAGTCACGGCAAAACCTAGTCGCGTGGCACCAGATAAATTAGCTTTCGCCAAACGCGAATTTGACAATTTAATGGCTACTGGTATTATTCGTTCTTTTAACAGTCCCTGAGCCTCACCTTTTCACATAGTACGAAAAAAGGATGGGGCTAGTTGGAGACCATGTGGAAACTACCGAGCATTACACGTAGTTACATATTTCAATAGCTACCCCTTCCCCCACATACATGACATCACGGCATCACTCACTGGCACCACAATTTCTTCCAAGATCGTTCTGGTTCGAGCATATCAGATAGCTATTGAAGACATCCAGAAAACTGCTATCACGACCCATTTCGGTCTGTTTGAGTTCCTACGAATGCCATTTGGATTACGGAATGCTGCTCAAACTTTTCAAAGGTTTATCGATATCATAATACGAGACCTAGATTTTGTTCACGTCTATAATGATGACCTATTATTTGCATCATCAAACGTAGATGAACATTATTAGTACTATTCCAGCGCCTTTCGGATAATGAAATAATAGTCAACCCCGATAATTGTGAACTTGAGAGAACGGAAATGAAATTCTTAGGTCATGTTATTAATCAAGAGAGAGCATTCTACCTTGTGAGGATAAAGTTCGTGCAGTAATTAAATACACTGTACCGTCCACACTCAAGGAGCTGAAGGCATTTCTCCGTCTGGTCAACTTCCACCGACGCCTCATCCCGCACGCGGCATAGCGGTTACGATCATTAACCGATTTACTTCACAGTAATTCACGCAAACTGGAATTAAACGATGCCACATGTGCTGCATTTTCAGAGATCGAAAAGGCCCTAACTCAAACCACACTTCTCGCTCATCCTGACCCATCAGCAACGCTTAGCATATAGGTTGATGCATCGGAAGTCGTTATGCAACATAACATCTCTGAGAGTTGACAACCCCTAGAATTTTTCTCACCACGTGAACTGCTAGCAGCCTACTGCGCCATCAAACATTTCCGGCACGCAGTAGAAGGTCGTAATTTCATCTTATTCACTAGCCATAAGCCCTTAACGTATGCTCTGCATACCAAGTCTGACCGCTACTCACCACGAGAGTGCAGATATTTGGGCTATATCTCTCAGTTCACGACAGACCTTCGTCATGTCAAAGGCGAGCCAAACTGTGTTGTTGATGCTCTGTCACGTATCCCAGTGAATACAGTTACTTTTCGAGTGCTCAATCAACCTGCTATGGCCATGCCTCCACCAACTGTGTCAACTTTACGCTATTTCTTGGGAATGGTCAGTCATTATGGCGTTTTTCTTCCAGAACTGCGTCGCCTTCGTGCTCCTCTTAATGGGTTACTGAAAAACGATACCAAATGGTTCTGGTCATCTGAGTGCCAAGAAGCTTTCTCAAAACTAAAACAGCTCCTATCATCAAATCTTCTGCTCATACAATATGATCCAGATCTTCCCATCATAGTCGCAGCAGATGTCCAACTACGGAATCGGAGCAGTGATTTCACATACCTACCCAGACGGGTCTGAGAAAGCGATCGCCCACGCTGCACGGTCGCTGACTATGACAGAAAGAAACTACAGCCAGATAGAAAAAGAGGCCCTCTCTATTGTATTCGCTGTAAAGAAGTTCCACAAGATGCTATTTGGCAGACAGTTTACCTTACTAACAGACCATCAACCGCTACTGACAATTTTTGGATCCAAGAAAGGTATTCCTGTATATACAGCAAACCGTCTACAGAGATGGGCAACTACACTGCTGGGTTATGATTTCAAGATAAAGTACCAACCAACAGCGGATTTCGGACAGGCAGATGCCCTCTGAAGACTAATTAGTTCCCGTACAAAACAAGAAGAGGAGGTGCTTGTGGCTGCCGTAGATGTTGAGGCCGAGGTTCACACAGTATTAGCAGACTCATTTTCCGGTCACATTCAAAGCCATTTAAGGAGCAAGTGAGGAAGATAAGGTATTGAAGGTTGTTTACCGCTGCATACTCAATAACTGGCCTTCGTCTAGACTACATGGGGAACTCTTGCAGTTTTTCCGTCGACGAGATTCACTGACAGTTGTAGATTACTGCATCATGTTTGGCCACCGTATCGTTATCCGCAGAAATCTTCGAAACGAAGTCCTTAAGCAGTTCCACAGCGGAAACTTGGGGATAAGCAAAATGAAGTCGTTAGCTCGAAGCTACGCATACTGGCCATCAATGGACCATGATATAGAGCAAGTGTCGCTGTTGTTTGTCCTGTTTAGAGGCCGCAAAGAACTAAAATAAAGCTGAACCGCAACCATGGCCAAAATCAGACGGTCCTTGGCAAAAAATACACGCCGAGTTTGCCGGTCCAATACAAGGCAGGAATTACTTGATTGTTGTCAACGCTTTCACAAAACGGCCAAAAGTATACGACATGCCGAAAATGACGTCAGAGATACAATAAGAAAATTGTCAGGATTGTTTTGGGGTACCCGAGATCTTAGTGACTGACAACGGCACCCTGTTCAAGTAATTTGTTTTTAAACGGTTTTGCAATGAAAATGGCATATCACATCTACAGTCTCCCCCGTATCATCCTCAGTCGAATGACCAAGCAGAAAGATTCGTGGATACTATAGAACGAGCTCTAGTCAAAGGGGGAGGAGAGGCTATCCCAGAACAAGTAATCAGCAAGTTCCTTATGTCTTACAGAGTTACCCCCCATCCGGCAGTACCAGAAGGTAAGTCACCGGCCGAGTGTATGTTCGGAAGGAAAATCCGAACAGTCTTTAGCAATATGTTGCCACCTAGAAAGACAAGTAAACCCACGAATAAGTATCATACGATCACTCATAGCTTCAAGGTAGTTGAAGGGGTACTTGTTAAGTCGTATGAAGGTGAAAGGAAGTGGGAACCAGGTATTATAGAACGTCGAATCGGAAGTGTATTGTATCTAATCCGGAGAAATGTCGGAACTTGTATAAGACACATAAATCAAATTCGAAGGGACGGGAGAACATTGATGCCACAAAGCCGACTCCCATTTCATTTGCTCGTGGATTCATCTCCCAAAAGCCCTCAGGCGCGCGAATGTAGAAGAGATAAACGACGCAAGGGTGAATCTACACAACCTTCGAGAGTGATGAATTGCAAAAGAAATGCGGTAACTCAATTCCAGGTGGATCCGAGAAAAAGGTCTTATATAACAGACTTTAAAGGGGGGAGGTGTGAGGATGGTCCACAGGTGAAGTCAAGGAAGCTCTAAGGAGTCCAGAAAGAGCCGGACATATTCCATCCAATCAGCTTTTGGGGAGAATATTCTAGAATAACTACGTGTAGCTTCCCTATTGGATAATGCTGATAACTATAGTGATGATTTTATTTCTACTAAAAACTATAAATACCTAACAATTTTGTACCATAATCGACACTGTTTGGAATAACATTCCTTCTACTTGTCTTCTGATTTGTGATTTGGAAGGGTTATAGCATTCGAGAGCTGAAGTATTGTGCGATAGACTAAAAAAAAATCATAGTTCAAGATATAACAGTTCTTGTTGACCTTAAATCTATCATTGTTTTGGTTGTATCTCCCACGACCAAACCATTCAGGTCAAAGAACAAATCTCCATCAAAATCATCTAACTGAACTATAAATTTTCTTTACCATCTCAAAATAATCAAGACGGCTATTTCATACATCATTTTATAAAGAATAACAATAACAAAAACTAAAGGTAACGATGAGAAACACGTTCATTTTTTCTTCTTCTTCTTTATTTATTTATTTTAATATTCTGTTAATAATAGACAGAGAGACGTGGTAAATTAGGTAAAATGGTTTGAAAAATAATTAGAACAAGAATAAATAGTTATGATCGTATCTACAATACCAACACATACACATACACACACACACACATAAAAGACGGAACAATCAAATGACCATGGATTTAACTACTACTACTACTACTACATACAACATGAAAAAGGTTACACTGTATGATATAATCAGCCAAAATGATTACATAATATCACACAGACACACACCCACATACACATGTTACATAATACAGGAGTTGTATTAAAGAAACAATAAAACATAAACATACCTATAGAATAATATTAGTAAAACATAAAAGAAGGAATAGGAAAGAATTAACCATCATGTATATTGATATATTATGAATTGAACATATCAATAAAAATAAAATGTCATTCTTTATAGTTTTATATCCCTATTAATTCTTATCATTGATTAAATGTAGTAAATAAGCAAGCATAGAATATAACATAATTAATATAATAATATAACTAAAATGGTTGATAAGGCAGGAAATTAAAATATACAAAAAAAAGAGAAGAAGAAACAGAAATGAATAGTTTGAATAAATGTATATTGTACAATTATCAATGTAGTAAGTTTAACCATAGAAACAAGTAGTTGCCTGCGTGCGCGCGTACACACACACACACACACACGTACAGAATAGTACATCAAGAGTTTGTTTTTTTTTTTAAAAGAAAGGAAATGTATGATTGAGAAGGTTGAAAAATAAATAAATCAAATCAAACCAAACCAAACCAACTAATAAAGACCGGGTTAAATGAAAGAAAAAACCTGACATATGAGATCATATATTAAATGGATCCATATTTATATTATGAATAATCAATGGTTAAATGATAAGCAAAACTGTGATAAGATTATTAAAAAAAAAAGAAAAACAAAAACAGATTTATTGAAGAACTAATAGAGTTGATGAAAATCAACTGTAACTGAGTTATTACACATACACACACACAAGTACACACACCTACACCTACAAACATGTACATACATATGCATACATAGCAACTGAATAGTTGATGAAAAGTGAATAAATTTAAAAGAAACAAAAAAAGGCAGAATACATAAATATGTCTATCTATATAAGTATGGTGATATTATACAAACAAAGGGAACAAAAGAATAAAACAAGTCATATATCATTTGTTTGTTTAAAATAAAATCTATTTTAAAAGAAAGAACATGATAAAACCAACTAACAAACAACAAGGAGAAACAAACAAACAAACAAACAAACAAACAAGGAACACAATTTTAGTACCTACATATATTGAATCAATATGGTTTCTTCTTTTTTTGTTGTTGGTTTTTCGTTTATTCTTGTAAAAGTAATAAAAAAAGAAAGAAACATGATTATTATTTGAATGGGTTATTATTATTCAATAGTCAATAATGGTTAATTATCTTTTCTTAAAAGGAAAATATATATATATATATATAACTTAAATAAGTAGTCGTTTATTTGATTTCAGTAGTAAACATGAGATCAAAAAAAAGGGAAAGAAAAGTTTAGAAGCAAAAGATAACATTGACAATAACAGTAATGGCAATACCAGTACCACCATCAGCAACAACAACGACAACAATCATAAAGACTAAATGGTAAATGTTGACATGGATCCATTAGTTATACAACAATCATATAAATTGAAGGAGATAGGAAACTTGAAGGTTCTTTTTTTGTAAAGAACAAATACAGCATACATTCAGTGTATATGATAAGATTATACTTTATGATGATAAATAAAATACTTAATCATTATTTTGAATGCATTCTGATTGCCTGAAATACGTTTAAAACGTACACCATAATGAATTGGTTTAGCTAATTGAAATATTTCCATATCCCATATTAATAAATGTGTTTTATCTTTTGAATATAATAGTAAAGGTAATTGAGGTACATCTTGGGGGTGCTGTTGCTGCTGTTGTTGTTGTTGTTGAGATGTTAATGTACAATGTTCTAGTGGTTGGTTAACATCCGTATCACGAATAGGTCTATTATTATCATTTGAAGTAGAACAAGGAGGAGAAGAAGTAGAAGAATGAATCAATTTTGTACAACGTAAACGATATGAACTAAGAAATTCATATGAACATTGATAATGTTTTATTAATTCAATCATTTGTATTAATAATATATGTGGATCAGTTCCATGAATTGGAAGATTTAATACAAAATATAAACGACGTGGTTTCCATAATTTTTGATTTTCATTCTCACCATAATAAAAAGAAGGATGATGATCAGATGATGAGGTAGTTGTTTTACAATTTATTATTCTCGTTGTATAAGCTGTTGTAACTGTCAATGGAGATGATGTAGTTGATGTAGATGATGCTGTACATGATGAAGTTGTGTAAGTTGTAGCTTTTAATTTATGCATGTCGGAAGTTATGACTACAGTTTTCGACGTTGGAAGGTCGAGGCAACACGGTTCGACTCCGATCTTTTCTATAATAAAACAATTCATAAGAATAAGTAATTGATGATTATAAAGAGTGAAGTGTAACTATAAATAAAATAAATAAACGGTAAGTTAATAAATCAAAACACTGGTTAAATCCGTTTTATCTTTATCAAAGTATTACTTTATACGAAGTAAGAATGAAGCGGGGGGGGGAATACAAAAAGCACCAAGAAACATAACGTGTACTTTATGCAAAAAAAAGCTGTGCAGTAAACTTTTAAATGAGTATAATAGAATTAACATGTTGTTACAACAAACAAACAAGCACATATATATATATATAAGATGCAAAACAAAACAAAACAGTTTAAATGTAGTTGAATCTTAATGAAATTAAATAAAGAAAAAAAACAACTGGTGAATTTGTCAGCTGGATGTACCTGCATCTCAGATTCAAACAAACAATACTAAGTGATTATAAACTTCACCCCATTGCACAAGAAAGTGGCTATCACGACTCAGTGGCCGAGTGGATAACGCGATGACGTTTGAAGCGAAAGCTACTGGGTTCGAGTCCTAGAGTGAACATCAACTCGGAGATGCAGATACATCTAGCTGACGAGTCCCAAATAGGACGAAACGCACGCCAAACTGAATTCTATTGCTAGCCACTATCCATCTTTGCTTACAATGCTTGTGAATTAAGGCTATATCGAGGCAATACACACAGTATGCACATATGCCAATTAGAGACTGACCATTTGCAGTCCTAAACATCAATGAGAAGATTCAAACAAACAATACTAAATGGATTTAAACTGGTGAATTCATTGAACATTTTAGTCGGTTTAACCTATGATAACTTAATAATTACGAACGATCGAGATGAATCTAAATAGGAATGGAATCTATCATGAACTCGATAAGGTAGCGTACACACACACACACACACAACCTCTCTTAATGGTAAATCCTCAACAAATGAACCCAAAAAGAAGGGATCAGTATAGAAAACTTGATATTCAACACAGACCAATCGAAATTAAACAACTCTGCATGTATAGCCATAAAAACATGACATCGGGTAGGGAAATTAGTGAACTTGAAGTGGTAGCAACTAATCAGAAAAAAATCATGGTTATGCAGAAATGTGCATTGGAAAAAAATTGTGCTCGAGGTTATCTCATTACAGAGGGGAAATTAACATGTAATAACAGAAGTCAAATAACCTATCTTCTAATTCAAAAAACAAAAAACAAAAAAAATAACACAGAAACAATCCAAAGTCGATGATATGGACACTCTTCAAGTCATGTTTCATCTCATAACCTACATGCCAGATCAAACTTAGGGATATTTAATTCTGACGGTAAGTATATGGGATGTACGATTATTGAGTTGTTTTTTTTTATAGATTACTTTTACATCTTTAAAAGTTTCTAATCTCAAACAAACCACTAGATTCAACTCAATTTTAACAAACGATTCTGTATTCCCCTTAAAAAAAAGAAAGAAATTCTATTCATATTCAAATAAAAACTGTTGCTAAAGAAACATATGAATAGAATAAACAATATAGGATATAACTTAAGTACTCCAGATGGAATGTATACATATACCACTTTATAAGGATCTATGAAACTATAATTCTATACAACGTGTTTTAAATTATGGAAAGTGAATCAATAACAACAACAACAACAAAAACTTATAGATTTCAGTTTAGTTAAATGTGTGCATGTGAAAGTTTCATTCGAAATGTATAATTTTGAACAGTTTGGCACCATCGTAAATAATAACAATTTTGATGTTTCAGTTCACAAGTTAACTTCAGTGAAGTAATGTGTATCTATATTTTTTCAATATAGAATTCATCAGTACTACAAACTGATAACTTTGTTGTCAAGTTTCAGATAATGGCCTTTGAGACATCACAGTAAACATGTTAATACTTGGATTATTGAATCAATTTGTTTGGCTTTATGAAAATTTCACTTGATTCATTTACACTAATTGAGTTATTCTTGACCTTGATCGGTTAACATCTAAATGTGATACATTTAATAGAAGTAATGAAAATTTCGAGTGTAAATTCCTGGTGAGCCGGTCTTGATGAAAGTTTTGTTAAAATTTCACCAGAGATAAAGTCAATCTATGATGTAGGTGGGAAGATCCAAACAAACCATACTAAGTAAATTTCAACTTCACCCCATTGCACAAGCAAGTGGCTAACAGGACTTAGTGGCCAAGTGGATAACGCGATGGCGTTTGAAGTGAAAGGTACTGGCTTCGAGTCCCAGAGTGAACATCAACTCTGAGATGCAGGTACATCCATCTGACGAGTCCTAAATACGACGAAACGCGCGTCAAGCTGGATTCCACTGCTAGCCACTATCCATCTTTGCTTACCATGCTTGTGAACTTAGGCTATATCGAGGCAATATGCACAGTATGCACATATGCCAATTAGAGACTGATCAGTTGCAGTCCTGAAAACATTAATGGGAAGATTCAAACAAACAATACTAAGTAAATCTATGATGTAGACTACAAATCAATCAATCAATCATGAAAAATTGTATTAATCATCTAGAGTGATACAATGGATCAACATAGACAATGGATATATGTATTGTTCAGATGAGTTCTGGTTATTCTATACACATAAGATCTACTTGTTATTTCGAATTGAAAATGTTGATAAGGAAAATTGTATTACCTCTTTTATTTATTTAAACACATAAATATTGGTACAAAGGGGGCATCAGATATATATGCGCCACACAAATCTTATTTGATTTGTTTGAGGGCTGTGATACTGCCCAGGTGCCCAAAATGAAGCAGGTGATAACCCGTTGGGGATAAGACTATACTTAAACAATTGAGTAGGGTTACTCGACGGGTATGAAGTTTTAAAAAAAAACACTGTAATAGGAATGACAATTTATTTTTCAATATACTTTACACTTACAATGTTTTCTAAGAATAAATAGTAGAATAGAAGATTAAATGAAAGAAAAAAAAGTGAAAAAATAAATACATCCATTATAATCTGATCACACATATACTTGTCAAGAACATTTATAAATAAAAATAAAAGGTCAACTAGAGTGGAAATAGGGGTCATTGTCAAAGAAAGAACGAGGTCCATGCTTCATTCAAAACCTAAAAGACATGTGTCACATCCTACTGCGTTTACCAATTAAACTATGTGTGTGTGTGGTCATACATACATAGGGAGGAGCAATTGTGATCTGATAATTAGGGTGGGTGGACATCTACCAAACTGGTTGCAGAAACAAATAGAAACAAATGACCCGATAAGAGTAGAGGATACACATCTATACATCTACACATAATCAAAACAGGTCATAAAATTGATCTTAACTCAGCTTTTGTGGTGTTGTATAAAAGTGTAAAAGGGCGTATAGTGAAGCCTTAGCCATACGGAAATTCAAACCCACTTTGTGTATTCAAAAACAGTTTGTTCTCTCCTTAAACCTACCCCGGGTAATATTAGCTCATTATCCTGAGTGATTAGGTGTCAAATTGTTTTCACATTATTTTTATTATTATTATCCTTGTCTAGCAAGGTACATCGGCCGTAGCCAGCGCTCGCTTTCAACCCGGATACGAGAACATATACCAGCTTGGTTCTACAATGGTGGAAAGAAAGCAGTTCGAAGTTCTATACTCGAACACCTAATCGACTGTAATCATTCGACGAATCCACAGTCTGATTTTAAGGTTGTTTATATGGTTCATTCAAATCTACCCAGATTTCTTCGGATCAAACTCTTAAAAAATAGCCGAAGCTCTTACCATCCATGAGCTCAAACCAGAACTCTGCGTACAAAAGAAGTACGTTTTATCATTATCGTTACCATGGCCTTAATATTATTATTATTATTATCATTCTTTTATTATTATGATTACTCCATTCCCCTTTACTTATGTTTTATATTCTCATTATTTTATTCATGAATACTCATCACCTTACTTATTTATTTTACACCTCTATGACCTTTAATGACCTTTAATTATTGTAACCAAAACATTTTATCCGTCTTACTATATTCACTAAATCTATTGTTGTTATTCGTATTACGTAATCTAGTATTATAATCTTGGTTATTAGTGTTCACATTTCCTCACGGAATTAGTACTTTAACAAAACATTTTCATATATATCAGGACTATCAGGACTCAGTGGCCGAGTGGATAACGCGATGGCGTTTGAAGCGAAAGGTACTGGGTTCGAGTCCCAGAGTGAACATCAACAAGTCTGAGACGCAGGTACATCCATCTGACGAGTCCTAAATACGACGAAACGCGCGTCAAGCTGGATTCCACTGCTAGCCACTATCCATCTCTGCTTACCATTTTCATATATATATACGATTGTACAGCTTGATAATAAATTCGTTGAAAAGAGATTCCTTTTATTTTTATATATAAATGGTCTTAACAACTATATTATGTGTGATCAGATTGTTCGAAATGTATTGCGCTAATATCTCATCACACAATTCTGATAATCTTCATCTTCTTATTACACTAAGGATATAATCCTTAATGAGTGTTAAACAATGAGAGTCTACATAGTAAAATTGTTGCATGCCGGAGATGTTTATGTTGAACATGATGTGTTTACACAACATCAACAACAAAAAACAACAACACACACACATACAAACACTAACAATAACTATAGAAAGAGTAAAGAAATAAAAAGTGTATGAAATATATCCGAGGGGGGGGGATAAACTATCACTACAATCACAACAACAAACAAAGAAATGTGTTCATTCATATGCAAATACTATAAAATCCACATTAGATTTATAAATCAAACCAGTTTGCAGTTATTAGTCTACGCTCAGTATGACTGATTGACTATTGGCAGTTAGTGGGATGAAAAGTCTTAAAGAATAATAACGAATTCATTAGATAACTTTAAAACTAAACTGATCATATGACTACATATTCTCAATAGTTTTTCTTGGTCTAGAGGCTAAGTACTCGCGCGCGAGACCGATAGGTCCTGGGCTTTAATCCTGCGCGGCGGGATAGTGGATGCACACTGCTCAGGAGTCCCACAACAGGACGAAACGGTCTTCCAGTGCTTCAAGATTTTCCATGGTGGTCTAGTTTTAATTGACTCATGAACTCAGTGTTATTAGGTGAAATAATATAAGGAGGGTTGTTTTACTTGACGTCTATTTGAGCCATTAAAGTTGATGCTTGAAAATCAATTAAATGATTGTCTCAACAACGCTAGAACATGAATAAGTGAACCTCACTATAGGTAGTTACTATCGAAGATGATTATTTTCACAATGAAAAAGATGATCAAATCCAGAACACTATTGAACATTCTGTGATTTTAAAGACAAGGCTTCCAATTACATAGAAGAAATGCTAATATCGCAGAATCGTATGAAACACATCTTTTTATGGCATGCGTGATGCTACAATGCAATAGTCGGAAATGAATCCTGATACTAAGTTTCATGGTAGATGGTACTCGTCTTGAAGATCCATCTGGAATCTTGAGAGAACTGATACTACCCACCGGATTTGAAGTAGCATTGTCCAGCTTCAGTTCCTTCAAAATTGTAAACACGCCTTGCTGGAAAGTTGCAACTACCAAAAAATATGAGTCTAGGGATCATACAACCGATTGCTTTCGACTATCAAACAATGAAACTATTTATTTAACAGTAGATCAGTATAACAAAGTAGTAGACTAATCAATCAAAATACTAACACTTAATATGTAAAAATAAAAAATAAAGGAATAGAAGAAAGAAGTAAAGTAAAACTTACTTTGACAACCATCACCAGCGATAGATTGATTATTAACCAGTGTGTTATTAGTGGAAAACTCATATCCATAATGATGTGGATAATGGTGAAGAGGTGCAGGCTGTTGTTTTAATTTATCAGTATCTAATTCACTAGATAATGATCGTTTGGATTTTGATATTAAATCCTTACGCTGTTGTTGTTGTTGATGATGTTTTCCAGGTTCCATAGTTATCCATGGATCTGGATTAACTGACACAAGACATTTCATTATGTCATGACTATTATCATCATCATTCACTTCATCATTATTATCATCATGATGATGATGTTGTGCTGTAGATGGATGACTAGATCTTGTTGGTGATGATGATGTGGAATGTGTTAATGATGAAGTATGTAATCGATTAGATGAATGAATTTCTTCGGTTAATTCAGCTTCATCATTAGACGATTTCAATAAACTTGTTTTATATGATTTTGAATTAGTATTAGTAGTATATTTATGTTTATGAATAGATTTTTGCATACTAGAAATGATTCGATTATTATTATGATGATGATTTGTATGACTATGGTTTTAGAAAGTGAGAAAATAGATACATAAATAAAACAACATGAAATATTGAATATAGGAGTCAGTGTAATAGATTGAAAGAAAAAAACGCACACACACACACACACCCATACAACAAACTTCAGTAAATGAAATAGTTTAATGGAATGTACACTATTGACTGAAGAGTAGCGAACTAGCGCGAAATGATAGTCTTCTATTGTTCAGTTCTAAATTAAGTATCAGTTTATAATAAACTGATGATCTATCAAGAGATATCATGAACGATTAACAATAGGCACATTCAATAAAGTTTAGATACATTTTTGAAGTTGACTAGATGTTTCAGTATCATCCTATTTCAGCTACATTGTTTAATGGCTTTATAATATCATGACTGTGGAATGGATGTTACATTTCAAAGTGAAGTAAAGAATAATTTCTATATTTTTCCATATAAAGATAAGTTAAAATTGAATTCATGTACTTCATGGTATAAAATGAGTAAAGTAAAAGGTATTTATTCAAATTTATAGACAACTAAATTTGAGAAGTACACTTAAGTTTAATATGAATCAACTCAGTCAATACTAATGGTAAAGTATAATTGGAATACGATTGACCCCGAATCTTTTGGTACGATCGAAAATGGGAAGAATCTATTCTCTCCCACCTAATGCTCTCATATGACTACGTGCATACAACCATTGCCTCCTTGCAGCATTACTGCTGTTTGTTGACATGATTCAGAATAGGTCGCAGTGTCACCAATATGAATTCGCTCTTCACTTTCCACTTGATTTTCAGTCTCGTACTTATTTTATGAATTAATCTTTTCTTTTTATTGCCAGTGATATGACTAATTTTATATTCACATAAATAATTTTATCTCTAGGCTCAATATGGTGCGCCAATTTAGACCAATGAATATTTCAGAGGGGGTTTTGTGGAGAATTTAGTATTTTCATAGTTGAAATGATGAGTCAATTGAAGCTAGACCACTATGGAAAACCTGGAAGCATTGGACGGCCGTTTCGTCCCATTATGGGACTCCTCAGCAGTGCGCACCCACGAACGGTCACCCAAAACCGTGGATTGGTTGAAGTTAGACATTAACACCGTTGGATGCCGGTTTAGTGGTCTATCGGTTAAGGGCTCTGGCTCGAGTGTCGCGAGTGCGGGATCATGGATACGCACTGCTGAGAAGTTCCATAATAGGACGGAACGGCCGTACATTGCTTCCAGGTTTTCCATAGTGGTCTAGCTTCAATTGACTCATGATTTCAAATATGACAATGAATATTTGACCATGGGATTTATCAATAGTAAAAGCATAACCATAAATTAAGATTAAATGAGTTTAAACTATTATATTTAGTACGTGGCAAGTTTAAGTCGGTTTTGTACTGATCAAATGACTGTATGTTGACAAGCAATCCGTTCACTATATACATAAAAGGAAATGGAAACTTAAGGATCGTGAATATCAAGAACAAGAAATTGCGAAATCATACTTATCTAGTTTAACATATTGACAGTAACGTGTTTCTAGGTTCAATAGAAATATTGAGTTTAGAAAAAAAAGCACAAAACAAAGAGGGGTAAAACAACAATCAATTCATTCATATCTTTATATATGAATGTATCTTAAATTAATATACAAATGAAAGGGAGAAGTCCTACTCACTGTCATCTTGTGACAGGGATGTTGCTTACGAAATTGAGAGGACGAAAAGTGAATGTCTGGAGCTTTAACCGGGTTGGTGGAAACGGAAAGTCCACCTAGGGGAGTTGGAAAACCCTCATTGCAAACCAATGGTGCACATGGACTCCAGGATCCTGAAGAAACAAATAGCGTATGAATCAATTGTTGGTCACCGGCTACAATGGTACTGTATCTCCTCACGATGCTTCACTGCCTTGTGGGTTAGACCTTTAGGTCAAAGGATCCGAGTGTGGTCCCCCTAAGGAAACCACTTGCTTCGGTTTGGACACCTGGGCAGTATCACAACTCTTACACAAATCAATTGAGATTTGCGTGACGCATATGTATCTGGTTCCTTTTTGTACCAATATTTATGTGTTTAAATAATAATAATAATACAAATGAAAACATTGATAATATGATCTTGCTCATTCCCATGTTGAATAAAAGTAAACATTAATAAAACAATATACAATGCTGATTTTTTTTTTGACCATAAAAGTATTTTATCATTAAAATGACATCAGATATTTAGTTTTCCATCTAAGAGAGATGAAGCTTAGTGGTTTACACAATCCACCTTCAATCAATAGGTTGTAGGTTCAAAGGTGACTTCAATAGTAACACTCAAAGAACAAACAGAATACATTTTATCACAGACATATAATAAATAAAAACAAACAGTAGTAACAGTACTTATAGTCTTGGACTGGTTTCATTAGAAACAATCTAAATGATTATCATAAAAACCATTTAGAAACCTTTATGATCCCCTTTAAAATTCCTTGCTCATACATTATCCTTGTTAAAATATATCGTCTAAAATTTGTTTATTTACAAATTAAAACTGTTTCAAATAAAAAAAAAAATTTAAAAATGAAAATAAACAATCGTCTTTGAAAATAAAACAAGTCAAATGATGTTGTCTACAGAAAGAAAAGATCAATCATCCTGTGATTGTACATAATTTGATGTTAAGTAATTTACTGATTAGATAAATTGATCATTATTAGGTAAATATAAAAACAAATAATATAATAAAAAGTGTCTAATAGATAGTAAATTTTATAAATAAAAATGGATGAAGATTAGCATTGGAATACAGGACGCATGTTTCGTCCTATTTAAGATTCGTCAGCTGGATGTAACTGTATCCTAGAGTTGGCGTTCTTGCGTTAAACTGAATTTCACTACTAGCCACCATCCATCTTTTCTTATAATACTTGTAAATTAAGACAATATCGAGGCAATCCGTATAGGATGTACATATGCCAATAAGAGACTAATCAATTGAAGTTTTAAACATCAATGAGAAAATTCAAACAAGCAATACACAATGTTTGTACAAGAGATATTGAAAAACTTAAACTACAATAATTCTACACGTTAGCAAATAGAGAACACATAAGAACTCTCCCATTTTCAAGGTTCATTCTCTAAATATCAACTAGTATCCAGCTATCTGTTTATTGATCTTTATGCATCTGTATTTTTTGACGAATGGCGATTATCCGCATATCATTCTATCGATTGGTTCATGAATCAGATGTGAGTAGCAAAAGCAACAGTTATAGAGTGGTGTGGGTTATATATTATCCACATAAGTAGTATGTGACGATAATCAGGCATAGAATGTATTTCGGTAAAAGATCGAGAAGGAAAGAATGGGAACGAAACGCAATTGACATAAAAATGCATGAACAATGAAATCAGAGACGATGGACTGATATTTACATAAGGAACAATCAAGATTGAGACAACTGATTGATAGCTTGTTAATTAACCGTTTACTGTACTGTATGGTTGTCAGATTTTAGTAAGATATCCTGTAATTTTGTGCTCAAATACATTTGATTGCCCCTACTTGTGTTCATATTCACTAGAGTAACAATGATAGAGTGGAAAATTTACTTCTTCTTTCAACAAAAAAACATATATACTCACAAACAAAGCCCAATAACCTGTAAATGAAACAGTATTACTGCATAGAGATTATACCCACCCATTTACAAACTTTGCAAAATTTATGCCAAAAATATTAGCTGTTAAGCGAAAGAAAACAAGATTTTTTGCGTTATTAATATTAGTATAGTGAGGCATAGAAGTGATTAGGATAAAAGAGGATTAACAAAAGTGACTTTATTTTAAAAAAATATCCAACATCAACACCAAGAAGTTGAGTGAATAATACGATTGGAAGAGAGTTAGGGGCGGCCAAACTAAAACATGGCATCAGAACTTGAAGTCACTAACTTCTAGTCTGAGCCATGTTGGGAGATACCGACTACTTGGTTGGGGTCCGCGTGATTATCGTAACTAATGGTTGGAGACTCTAGGTGACATGGCTCAGACTCGATCACAATTTTTCATTATAGAAGTGATTTATGAAAAGTTCATCTTTATCAGAAAAGTAGTGTTCATCAAAAACTATGCTCTGGTACGACCAAGGATGCAACGAGTTCACTCTCCCTTTCCAAATGCTTTCACATAGCCAAGTTAATACAACTACTACCACAAAAGTCCTACTTACTGCCTTCTTCACGGTAATACTGTTGTTTATGAAATTGACAACACGAAAAGCGAATATCTGGGGTGTTAAACGGGTTGGTGGATACAGAGTGTCTACCACAGGCAGTTGGAAAACCCTCATTCCAAAACAATAATGCACATGGGCTCCAGAATCATGAAGGAACAATCAGTCAGATACCGGCTATCTTAAAGCTGTTTCTCCTTACATTGCTCTACTGCTTTCTAGATAAGTCCTTTAGGTCGAAGGCTCCGGGTGTGGCTCCCTGAGAAAGCCAACTGTTTCGGTCTGGGTATCCGGGTAGTGTCACAGCCCATACAAAAATCAAGTGACTAATGTGGCGCATATGCATTCGGTACACTTTTGTAACAAATAAATAAATAAAATGATCGAAGTCCCTTGAGTATTTGTACATAATTAAATGCAGAATTTCCAGGCCTCACAAGATGACTGTGATACTTCCTAAATTAAATGCAACTATCAGATCTGATGCTCCAAACATTTGTACTGTATATTAAACTGTGAACATGTTTTTTTTTTTACCAATTACACCCAAACAATCAACAGAACAAAATTATACACATCCGATGCACATCCCCCCCCCAAAAAAAACAATCTCAATTGAAATACCAACTATTCAAAATAAAAAGAGGAATGAATTCTAAAGGAATGGAAAGAGTAATGTTAGAATGCGGCAAAAAAGAAACCTCGTAGTATACACATATCATTTGTTTTAAGTTAATTGTTATGCTCAATCAAAACACACACACATTTAACAATATTACTAACATGTAGTAATAGTAGTAGGAGTAGTAGTAGTAATAATATTATTAGTATTATACACAAATAATGATGAATTTATTTACAAATTATTATAAACAAGTACAATTCTTCTTGTCCTTCCTATAAAAGAACAAAACAGAAAAAGGTACTAAAGTCAGAATAGAATCACAAAGAGAAAGAGTGAGTGAATGAGTGAGGGAGAGGGAAAGAGAAGGAGATCACTGATAGAATAGTAAACAACCATATATATATGTTAAGAAAATGATATAAAAAACGAAATCGCAGCGAATAAAAATAGCATTGTGGAGTAATAAGTGAAAGTGTTGCTAGGTAGATTAAGTGTGTAACCAGTAAAAAAGAAAAAAAGTAGCCAAATAGAGCTCAAATAATTAGCGCATAAATATGCACACACACACACATTCTTGCTTGTTTACATTAAAAATAGCTATAGCATAGAAGTGCATTTTGTAAAGGTGTAAAATGAAATATATATATATATATATACATTGATATACAAACACACGTACAAACACACACACACACAAACAAACAATTTCACTCCAACTCACCCTGACTTAAAACGACCACATCGAAAACTTGATGTATAGATAAAAAACAAATTATTATTATTATTATTATTATTATCAGAAGGGGTTTTGTGGAGATTACAGTATTGTCATAGTTGAATGCGTGAGTCGATTGAAGCTAGACCACCATGGAAAACCTGGAAGCACTGGACAACCGTTTCGTCCTATTACGGGATTCTATCGGTTAAGTGCTCTGGCGCGAAACAGGTAGGTCTTGAGTTCGAATCTCGTGAGTACAGAATCGTGGATGTGTATTGCTGAGAAGTCCTATAATAGGACGAAACGGCCGTCCAGTGCTTTCAGGTTTTCCATGGTGGTCTAGCATCAATTGACTTACGCTTTCAACTGTGAAAAAAGAAATTATTCATGATAATTATAACTTCTTTTCATTTTAGCTGATTACTATATAGAATAACCGTTAAATTTATTGTGCAACAGTGTGCTTCTGGTTATGTAATGGAAGTTCACTTGATTTCGACAAACAATTTCCAGTACAACACTACTAGAGAAAACAATTCTTTTGGATAAATGAAAGCAGACAGAGTATTGGGATAGAAAGTCAAGTGCTTTAAACACTAAATTATCGGTGTACTGAAATGTAGTATAAGAATCACAGGTGGATTGAGAGACAGAGAGAGCACATATAAATGCATTGAAATCATGTACCAATGAGAGATGGATGGTGGTTAGTAGTGAGACTAAGGACATGTGTTCCATCCTATCTAGGACTCGTCAGCCGGATGTATCTGAATCTCAGAGTTGATGTTCACATAGACACTCGGACCCACTACCGTTTGCTTTAAACGTCATCACGTCCAGATAGTCACTGGCTTGCGCAATGGGGTGAATTCTAATTCATACATGATGGTTATTTGGATCTTCTCACTAGTATTTAAGACTGCAAAGGATTAGTCACCATCCAGGTTTGTTTAAAACTCTTGTAGCTCGATAATAATATCGAGGGATTTTGTACATGATGCACATATGTCAAAGTAAACTGACTAATTGCAGTATTAAACATCAATTGGAAGATCATAACAATCAAAATATATGAACTGTGTACTAAATTCAACAGAATATAACGTTAGGAGGAAAATATTCAGATTATTTGTAGCAGATTTTGTGAACTATATTGCAAATTTTTGGACACTAAATTACTATTTATTCAGTTAAGTGCTCGGGCGCGAGACTGATAGGTCCTGGGTTCGAATCTAGCGAGTACAAAATCGTGGATGCGCACTGCTGAGGAGTCCCATAATAGGACGAAACGGCCATTCAGTGTTTCCAGGTTTTCCATGGTCGTCTAGCTTCAATTGACTGATGATTTCAACTATGAAAAATACTATTTATTTGTTTATCAACCAATCTAGCTAGTTTGAAGTCATAAACTCAACATATTTCGTAGATGTGTTAAAAATGATCGTATGCAATCACTTAACAAACGGTCAGTTTACAAATCCTGATATTGAAACTAATTTCTCAACTTTGAATTTTTTGTAAGCAGACTATTAGTGGTACAAGTATCCTACGACGGGGCAGACTTTAAACCTCATCATCTATTTACTTCAATTTTAGTAACTGTGTAATCTACCATTAAGTTATACACATACATTGTGCTGTTTAGTGCAGACTATATATAGAAGTAGGTTAGAAGAAACCTGGGGGCTGTCAAACCAAGATGCAGTATTAGTCCATGAAGTTACTAACAACGTAACTGGGTCATATCAGTAGGTGTAAACTACCACGTAATTATCGTAACCAAGGATTAGAGAATGGATGACATAGCTCAGAATCGCTTGCCATGTCCAGTATTCATTCACTCTCATTAAACGTTTTAATACTTGATTTTCTCTTCTACTATTAACACAATTACTACTTCTATACTACTCTAGAATTAGTCATACTATTATGGAATGACAAATTGAACTGATAGATTTAAGTTCCAAGTTGGACGCTGTACACGACTGACTAAGTACATATGTTTTTCACTTGGAAAAATGATTTATACTGTAAACCTTAAGCATTTTAAAGAACATTTATGATACTGTAACTCAGATTTTTAAAGCTATTCAATTACGCGTTAGGTGGAATAAGAAAATTAACTAGTTAATGAAATATATAATTTGACTACTCACAAGTAGCTTATTATGTTCAATAAAAGTAATCTGGCGCAGCATAAAAGGATTAAGTATCTAACAACTGAAAAGAGTTTCATACTACTAACCAAAGTTGAATGTATTAATCATAGAAATGATAAGTCTATGGAATTTACACGAGTCAGTCAGCTACAACGTAGGACCAGGCACATTTATGCATCGGTCCAAGTTGTCATACCTCATTAGCACAACAAGATGAACACACGGATATCCGTTTTCGGCGGTAAGATACCAACAAGTACGAAGTTAACACAAAAACAACCCACAAAAAGGTCGTGTGTGACTGACCTCAAGCAGTTGATCCCTTGGGCACTGCGTTCACGGTCTCAGGTCATTAAGACCACTTCTAACCCAATTTCCTTCTTAGGTACCTCAAGAAGAACCCTACACGGTGTAAGCGAACGGGAAATGATAACTGCCCTCATACCTCTAACAGCACTCAAAACCACTAATTTTATACAAAAAATAAACACGAAGTCAGAAAAAAAACCATGTTTCGTGACTGAAAATCGTAATACATTATATTCACTGTTGACTGTAGTCTATCAATTTGGACACCTTATGAAAGATAACTCGATATGTATTACCTTAAATAGATGGATATCTATACAAACAACATCCAACATGACTAACACAGAATAAAACTATGGGATCTATTTATGCCTAATCAATGATAGAAGCAAATAACATGCTAACAAAGTCATTTTAATGCATTAAATATATGAATCTAGGATAACCACCCTGCAAAAGGAAATAAGGATACACAAAAGAACCCAGAAAAAAAACTTAGAGATGATCGAAATCAAAAGTACGTTTATTGAAAAAATAAACAACATCAATTACCTTCGAGCTATCCTTAATGTTAGACTACGGAAGAATCGTCCTGGTCTAGAACGACTAGATGATTCATTCTTTGAAACTATAGTTGATGGGTTCTCTATAGTCATTGAAGAATCTGAAGAATTTTTTAATTCTGTGGAACCATTGATATTTTGATTAAGATCTACAATTTTCTTATCTGTTGTCACTTGTTTCGACTCATCAGGAATATTGTTAGTTTTAGTCATCATGGTATTATTTGGTCGATGACGTACTGACCATTTAATAATTGAATCTCTTTTTAATGATGCTGTTGTTGTTGTTGTTGTAGGTAATTTAGAACCATGTGATTTTGAATCAGACTTTTTCTTATCATCATCTTCAGTCTTCTCAACTGTATTCAATGTATCTAATGCTTTGAAAATTGAATCAGGTAATGCAATTCGACGACTAGGAGATGAAGATTGTTTAGTATTATTATTATTATTATTATGTTGTTGTTTAATTTGCGCAGAATTCATTGTACCCGACGATGATGTTGGATCTAATGTTGAAGAATGACTATCAGTGAATGTGAATGATTCAGATATTTTTGTATTCATATTATTTATTTTCTGATGATCATCATCAGATTGATTAGATGATGATAACTTCTTTAACTTTTTACTTTTATTACTATTAAATAATGAATAAGGAATACTTGAACGATTAACATCATTATGTTGATGCTTTTGTCGATCATTTGTATGTAATATATCAATGATAGAATTAGTATCATTTGTAGAAACTTTACTATTATTATTATTATTAGTATTAGATAAAGTTGCTGTTTTAGGTTTGGAATGAATGGAAGTATCTTTATGCTTCTTTTGATAAGGAAGTGTCCTGAAAAGGTTAGTAACAAAAAAGAAATATTGATTATCACAAGAGGTTTTGTGGAGAATTTAGTATTTTCATAGTTGAAAGCGTTAGTCAATTAAAGCTAGACTACTATAGAAAACATGGAAGCACTGGACGGTAGTTTCATCCTATTACGAGACGCTTCAGTAGTGCGCGTCCACGATTCCGCACTCGCATCCAGTGCTTCCAAGTTTTCTGTAGTGGTTTAACTTCAATTGACTAACGCTTTCAACTATGAAAAAAGAAATAACTGAACATTGAAATGAATGAGATGGGATGAATTCACTAACTGACAACCACGAAGTGTAAGATGTTATTGTTATAATGTAGTCAAAGTATTCAATTATCATGTTAGTTAACTGTTTAAAACTTGACTGTTATTGTGGTGTGGTATACTTATATCTATGTAAGTAGTATGTGGTGTTGGTCACACATAGAATATATTTTTGCAGAAGATCGATGAGGATAAAACTGAAATGAATCGTAATCGGTACGAAAATGTATGAACAATAATAATCAAAGAAGACAGATTGATGTTTGCAGAAGGAACAGTTAAGATTGAGACAATTGATTGTCATTTTGCAAATTAACTGTTCATCATATGGTTTTCATATTTCAATGAGATATTCTGTAATGTTGTGCTAAAATACATTCGTTTGTACCCATTCGTGTTCTTGTTCACTACAATAAGAGTAATTAAACGTTTGAAGCTGTCAATTATATGCAATCAGAAAATTTAGGTTATTATATAAGAAGGAAGGTGTATAAACATGAGACCAATAATAGATTAGAACATATCAGTTTCCAGTTCAATAGTTGATTGATACAAATCAAGAGTAATCTATTTGTATATTTGTACTTACCTTTAAAAAAAAACACATGGTATTTAGAGATGTTTACAGTATGCAGTTCAAGTCAAAACTGTTCATATGATGCCTATTAAAATAAGAGATGTCTCTCATCGTATTTATATTTCAACAATTCAGAAAAATAATCAGAATCTACAGTTGGTGTTTTTAATACCCTATCACTTTACAACACATTATGAGGTTATCGAATAGTATAAAAGTCTTAATTTCAGTCATAAATAATGAAATCATTTGTGTACATTAGTTGTTGCATTTTATTTAAGACATAAATATTGGTACAAAGGGGCAGCGAATACATATACGCCAGACAAGTCAGTTGATTTGTGTATGGGCTGTGACACTACCCAGGTGCCTAAATCGAGGCAAGTGGTTTCCTTAGGAAGTCACACCCAGAGCCTTTGATATAAAGGTCTAATCCGGAAGGCAGTGGAGTAACTGAAGAAGATGAAGTCCCATGGTAGCCGGTAAGCAATAATTGGTTCCATCGCCATTTGTTTCATTAGGATCCTGGAGCCCATGTATACTATTGGTTTCAAATCAGGGTTTCCCGTCTCCATAGGTGGACGCTCCATGTCCACTGACGCGGTTAAAACACTGGACATTCGCTTTTCGTGTTGTCAATCTCATAAACAATAGTATTGCCGCGAGCAGGAAGTGAGTATGACTTTTGTGGTAGTGGTTATATACACGTGATTATGTGAGAGGATTGGGAGTGGTAGAAATGACTCTTCCCACTCTCAGCCTTACTAGGGAATTCGGGGACCGACACTATGTGTTAAAGAGCTTCAGACGTTGTTGAAAATTATACAATCTCTTTAAACAATTTTTAATTCATTTTCTTTTACAATCAATGAGTAAACAATCTTTGATGAATTACACAGAGTTAAATAGTAAAATCAGAAATCATGCAAATTTAACACTTTCATATACTTTCATAGTTGAAAGTATGAGTCAATTGAAGCTAGATTACCATGGAAAACCTGTAATTAATGGACGGCCGTTTCGTACTATTATAAGACTGCTCAGCAGTACGCATCCACGACCTCGCCTTGCGAGATTCGAATCCAGGACCTACCAGTCTCGAGCCAGAACACTTAACCGATAGACGACTGAGCTGACCGGCATCCGATGGAGTTGATTTCTAACTTTAACTGATCCACGAAGTTCAGCAAACGTTCACCAATTGTCTTCAGCGAGTTGATATCACACGACAGACGTGGTTTGAACTCCACTGGTTACTGCTTCTCACTAGGAACTCCTGGATATACTTCTCGAAGTCAGTCACTAGTGAGCACATGATTATTATTATTATTATCAGAAGGGGTTTGTAGAGATTTAGTATTTTCATAGTTGAAAGCGTGAGTTAATTGAAGTCCCATAATAGGACGAAAGGGCCGTCCAGTACTTTCAGGTTTTCTATGGTGGTCTTGCTTCAATTGACTCACGCTTTCAACTATGAAAATACTAAATCTCCATAAAGAACCCCTTCTGACTTTCATATATATCCATCTAAATAAAGAAAAGTAAACAAGCATGTGAATAGACTTTGGGAAACTTATTCATCAACACAGGTAACACAAAAGTGACTTGATTACAATAAGGAAAGTAGGTCATTCTTCTTTTTCTTTTTTACATACACAAATGAAATAAGTTCCATACAATAACAAGTACTTTGTTGATTCTAACAATTAGTCATTGAAAAAAAAGAAGGATATCACATATTTCAAGTAATCTCAGTATAAATATGGTGTGTACAAAACTAACCAATCAAATTTACACATTTGTTGTTACTGTGTCTCTATCAGCATATCGATCGATTATAAAGTGCATATATAATGAATGTAACATATATAATAAACTAAGAAATCTACCAATAGGAAACGACTTTTAAGAAAGACCTTCACTGGAAAAAAATGATGATTTATCAGTAAATTTAAAAAATGATGATAAATTTTTTATCTATTAAAATAAGCGGAACTTGCCCCCCAAATGCCCTGGTACAACCGAGAGCGGGGAGAGTCCGCCCTCCATCGAAAAATGCTCTCATATGGCCATGCGTATATAGCCTCTGTCAGGGAAATCCCACTAACTGCCTTCTCGTGACATTACTGTTGTTTACCAAATTGAGTGGATGAAGAGTGAACGTCCGACGCTTTAATCGGGTTGGTGGACATGGAGAGATCACATAGGGGAGTTGATAAACCATGATTCCAAACTAATTGTGCACATGGGCTCCATTATCCTGAAGGAACAAATGGTGTATGAACCAATCGTTGGTCACCGGCTACCATGTGACTGCATCTCCTTACGATGCTTCACTATATTGTAGATCAGACCAATTGTAGATCAGGTCAAAGGCTCCGGGTGTGGCCCCCAAAGAAAACCATCTGCTTCAGTCTGGGCACCTGGGCAGTATCACAGCCCTCACATAAATCGAATGAGATTTGTGAGGCGCATATTTATCTGGTGCTTTCTTGTACAAATATTTATGTGTTTAAATAAAATAAAATAAATGTCGAATATCTTGGAAATAAAGAAACTTCTCTATTACGTAATGATGATTATTCTGATATTCTATAAAACTATGAAACGATCAACTAATAGGAACAAATAGAATTTAAATATTCATAGCTGAGATATTAATGAGGATAGTAAAATATAACAAGTACTTGTGCAATAAAAAAGAACCCAGAACATACACACAAATTACATAAGAAAGCATATACATATAGAGTGCATTAGTTCAAAAGGTGCACATCAAAAAAACAAGAAAAAAAGGAGTTTCATTAGTATATGAATAAACATAGATACAAAATATACGTGAATCTAGGATCATTTATAAAAGTACACATGTATATATTAAAAAAAAAACACAAAAAATTTATCGATTTCTTCCCTCCTTCTATCCTACAACTATAATGATCCTTAATGGAATTGTATTTCAGACAAAATAATTAGTTGTTGTTAACTGAATTATTTAGTTAATACTCTGATTAATCTTATGATATATAATGTCTGAAAGTTTAATACGTTAAAAGGTCATAAACAATTATGGTTAGTGACTGGTAGTAGAATCCAGGATGCGCGTTTCGTCCTATTTAGGACTCGTCAGCCGCATGTACCTGTATCTCAGAGTTGATGTGAACTAAGGCAATATCGCGACAATGCGCAGATTATGCACATATGCTAATAAAAGACTGACCAGTTGCAATCCTAACACATTAATGGGAAGATTCAACCAAAAAATACTAAGTGAGGTCATTAACAACTGTTCACCTTTATTTTAACTAACGCAGTATAAATTACAAACAACAGATTACAGAATGAGACTGTTAGCGGGAAATAAACCGAATTAAGGCATGTTATGTGCACGATCGTGACGCCGCACGCTGATTGGCTAATTTTAAACCAATCAGTTCTGGCAGATTATTGGAGAAGCATCTGGAAGCTTCTTATGTATATACTATAAATATATGAACGTTTTTCCAACCATTGATTGCTGTTCCCTTTTTCTTGTTATTTTTAATGCGATTTCGTCCCTGTTCAACGTGTTCTCATTTGGGGTCTCGTTGAATGTCATTGTATAAGAATACTAAGCAATAGAAGTAGCTGGGTCGTTTATTAACAGCAAAACAATTATAACAGAGACATTCATGTATTGTAAACTTTTATGAAATTACTAATGAGATTATATCGTCACAAATTGTAATCAACGATTATTTTAACTTTATGGTTTTTGAAATGATTATTGTAACCCATAATATGTTAGAAATAATAGTAACAGACTACAAAATAGAAGTATGATTAAATGAAGTTGAAAATGTTTTGAAGATATTGAAAATGGTTAGATTCAGTCAGTCACAACGTAGAACTTTGTATGTACGTACGTCAAATCGAGTTGCTATACCACATTAGCACAGAGATACAGTTGTCGACCCAAATCCCATAGTGGTAGAAGTATAAGCAATAATCGGAAAGATTACAGTTTGAAGATGTTATTCAAGGAAATGGTTAGATTAATGAGAAGTGATTAGTTTGTGTGGTTAGAATTTTAGCTTCATGTAAATGAACTCAAATGAAGACGATGTACAATAGTGTTAAGACACTATTTACTATTTTATTACATAATAAACTAAGTGAATTATGTGAAGGTCAGTTGCTTTATTATTGAGAGATGAACATTTGAAATAGCTCGACATGGATGTCAGGTGTTTATATTGTGATGACTCAAGCAAACTAAACTGAATAGATGGAACATGTTAGTTAATCAAACGAAAAGTGGGACCTAAAAGGAGTATACATCGGTTTAAGTTGTCGTAGCCCAATAGCGCCGAGAGATGAAAGTTTATGAACGAATCCTAAGGTAATAAGGGTAGTAACAGTATTAAAGGTAACAGAAAAAATCAAGCAACGAAGTTACGATTGGATGGAATACATATTCCTGTAGGTCCCCATCAAACCAGACGGACTGGTATAATAGCGGTAACATTATAAGCTACAAACTCAAGATCCTAGGAAGAAATCATACAGCCGATTGTATGGAGGTGTGAGAGCAATAAAATATTTCTCTTATTCAGTAGTTACGTCACTGATCCCTTCCCAGAAGATGATGAACAGGTTAGGAAACGCTGACCCTAAAAATAAAATAACCCTATCGGACAGATTTTCGTCACCGACAGATGGCCTTAGACGTACGGAAGTATCACCCCTAAAATTGTACGCAAAAAGGGTGGGAGACCACAAAAAGTTGTCTCTTGAGCTCTGCAGTGACGCTTTTATGTTGACAAGATCATTAATAATCTGATTTTTTCTTTATGTACTTCGAGGAAAAATATCTTACTACAGTTTGTGTGACCATAGATTGACAACTGTGCACACACATGTAACATCTCACGTTAATAAGAGCAACATATGGAAGAAAAATAGTGCAAAAAGAGACGGGTAAACACACACACACATCAACACAGAAAACTATGACAATAGCTATTACGGAAAAGGAAATCACAAAAACAATGACATCAGTTTGGTTTTTTCTTATGTGCCCTTTCATTTAACGACCTATTTACCTCAAACCTTGGGGTTAGGGGAGGTAAAATTTTACCGAGTAAAAATTTAGCAATAAAAATAAAAGCATAAAATAAAAAAGTATGTGAAGTAAGCGGAAAAAAACAAAACAAAACAATTAGGTTGCACTACCTTCGTAACCATCCGAGGAAGCTGTTGGAAAAATACAATACAGGATGAAAAAATTAATTGTATGCACACAAGTACTCTATATAAACATATTATATAGGTATAACCAAACGAACAAATAATACTCAATTGTGAATTTTGATGTTGGTTTGTTCACTGAGCTGGATGGTATGGTCGTGGAGCTTTCATCGTCCTTCTGAACGACATCATTAGCACAAACTTCGGGTAGAATTGTCTGTCCAGTTTCGAACAGCATGCCAAAAAATAGATCTTACTAGTGTCATGATAACTTAAACTCAACTTTGAAATGATGACAGTCTCATTAACTCCTTGAAGGTTATTTGTTAATTATTACTTACCAAGTATAGGATGGTTAGTATACTCAGATTTAATCAACCGAATATTTTCGAGGATATGTTTGTTTGAGAGAGAAAGATCAAGTAGCACTATTACATCCGGGAATCTGATATATATATATATATATATATATATATATATATATATATATATATATATCACTTCAAGTTCCTATACTACGTCAGCAAGACAAATCGTGGCGTATTAGAAGTAGAGCTAGTGCTAGTAGGAATAGAAAAGATAGGATGAAGAAAAACAAGAAAAGATATAAGGAGATTTCAGGATCCAAATTCCAAAAAAAAGACAAGGAGTGAGTGGATCTGCCCCAGGTTAATTATACCTATAGTCGAGAGTGACGACGAAAGTTTGTCGACAAATCTAGAAAACTATGAATAGGCAATCAACCTAATTTGAGTAAAATAATTTTGACTTGTAAAAATCATTCAAAGAATGATACATAAAAATGAAAGTATAGATTTTCAGGGGATATGGAAATTACTAAGATATATAACAGTGTTATATCGTGTGTGTGTGTGTGCCCAGTTGTTATATCGATTGAGTGAGTGCCCAGTTGATAAATGTGAGTGATATGACCGCCTATCAGAGAGCAGTAGATTTATTGATCGCCCAATGATACACAAAAGCCGTATGAGCAGTCTTGAGTACTCGTCAGTCCTGCATTCTGCCTAACCCAACCAGTTCAGTCCAGAACACCGATAACAGCCTCTGTGGTATGAATCCTTGTATTTCAAACATACTGAGTTTATATACCAACCAAACTGACTATATCGTACCATAAAATAGAAAATAACATTTGTACAAGATTTAGCTAAATGTAGTTGTGAATAGGAGGAACAGTAATCAATAGACTGGAGATAATTCAAAAATAGTAAATTGTATAATAATAGTTCATAGGTCAAAATAAAGCTTAGGATAAGAGGATCATGAATATGAATAGTTTAGTTACATAACAATTATACAATAGGAAATATACATATTATATTGGTCTATAAATAGTCCTCAAAAGTTACCATTCACAATTCTCTTCAAGATACAACAAACAGCAAAAAAAAAACTGAAAGTTTAAACCAATCCTTTCATATACACAAACACCATATTATATAGGTAATGATCATTTAGTCAGTCAGCTACAATATAGGACCAAACACATATAATTGCATCGGTCCAAGTTGTCATATACCTCACTCGTTAACACAACAAAATGAACAACATGAAACGGGTTACATAATACATAATTATTATAATGATCCACACATAGAAACATGCAATGCTTTCTTTTTTTTTATTTTTTAGATCAATAGAATAATCATTGAATTAAAGTCATCTATATCATATGATTGGTAAATAGGTATAACTCAGTGTTTGTTTGTTTGTTTTTTTTGTTTAATATATTTAACTATTAAACAATATTGTTACATTTATAATGTCTGAATATGTTAATGAGAATGAAAAATCTCTTAACTTATTAAGGTTCCAGGTAGAAATATATGTAAATAGTTGATAGATACATTTTGAGTGTAACAGGTAATGAAACTATACGATTTACCGAACTTGAAATAGATGGAACAAGTTTTGAACTATTAAACTACAGTTTTATGAACTAGTTGACACTTATCACTAAGACTACTATGAAACAACTAATGACTAGAATCAAGTTCATTGAATATGAAAGCTACAGAATTTTAAAGTGTCTTAGGATTACAGTTACATTTCGGCAATAAATACTAACTGGATTAAATAGAAGCCCTGAAAGTTCTGTCAACCACTTCTAACTAACTTACAACACTAAATAGAATCCACTAAAATACCAAGTCTAAATAACGGTTATATTGTAACTTGACTAACAAAATTCGATTAGTATAAGGAGAATGAATAAAGTAACAATGCATCCTACTCAACGATTAACTAATATAAATATTTCTTAGCCATTTGATAAAAACAATACTTTTCCACTTCACCAGATATATATGCGCCACACAAATCTCATTTGATTTGTGTGGGGGCTGTGACACTACCCAGGTGCCCAAACTGAAGCAGGTGGTTTTCTTAGGGGGCCACACCCGAAGATTTTGACCTAAAGGTCTGATCCATAAGGTAGTGGAGCATTGTAAGGAGATGCAATCACATGGTAGCCGGTGACCAATAATTGGTTCATACGCCATTTGTTCCATCAGGGTCCCATTGCTCATGTATACCATTGGTTTGGAATGAGGGTTTTCCAACTCCCCTAGAATGGACCCTCCATGTCTACCAACCATGCCTCCAACCAAAAGCACTGGACATTTGCTTTCAATCCTCTCAATTTCGTAAACAATATAACTTTATCAATGTAAATGCATAAATTTTTCAAAATAAAATTTTCTATTTGAATCTTTTTTTCTTTTTCTTTTTTTCTACGGAAAGTTCATCTTTCATTAGTTTACTGATGTTTTTACTAAGATAATCAATACATAGAATAACTTATTTTCTTATAACAAAACTTTAACTAAAGAAGAAAAAAAAAACACAACCCGGATTGATAAACACATATTATGTAATATCTGTAAAATGAAATGAAATGAATTCACTTGATACGTTCAACATTCATATGACAACAAACAAACAAAATAAAAGAATTTTTTTTTTTAACAATTCTAGTAACTATGCAAAGTTATATTCATGTGATGAAAGTAATTCACTATTGAATTTTGTATAAGAGATTGAAAGTTAAGTTATGTTAAAGATATTGATTAAATCATCCCTTATATCAAAAAAGTGTTATATGGGAATAAACAGAAAAAGAAAGAAATGAAAACGGTACTATCGAAAAACTAATCTGAATTTGGCCCCCAAATGCCCTGATACTACCGAGAGTGAGGAAAGTCAGCTCTCCCTCTTGAAATACTCTCACATGGCCACGCGTATATAGCCTCTGTCAGGGAACTCCTACTCACTACCTTCTCGTGGCATTACTGTTGTTTACGAAATAAGCAACACGAAAAGCGAATGTCCGGCGCTTTTACCCGGGTTGGTGGACACGAGAAGTTCACATAGGGGAGTTGGAAAACCCTCATTCCAAACCAATGGTGTACATGGGCTACAGGATCCTGATGGAACAAATGGCGTATGAACCAATTATTGGTGACCAGCTACCATGTGACTGCATCTCCTTACAATGCTCCACTACCTTATGGATCAGACCTTTAGGTCAAAATCTTCGGGTGTGGGGCCCCCTAAGAAAACCACCTGCTTCAGTTTGGGCACCTGGGTAGTGTCACAGCCCCACACAAATCAAATGAGATTTGTGTGGCGCATATGTATCTGGTGCTTCCTTGTATCAATATTTATGTGTTTAAATAAACATTTTTAAATGAATAAATAAAGATGATAATTATATACATGCGAACGGTGTGCTCACATGATGTGTAGGCGAGAATGATAATGATTGGTTGTTTTGCTGAGTCAGACATGTGGATAGTGTGATAGGTGTTATGTGTGTTATATATTCCCCTATCCTGATTATTATGGATTGACTGTTCCTTGTTATTGGATTGTGTCGGATTTTAGTGTGGGAATACATTGACGTTCTTGTCAGACTGATTGCATGCTCTTGACCTGAGTTGTGTTGAATTCTTGTAGAATGGACACTGGGTGGGAAACCTAGTGTAGATAATCGTCTAAGGTAAATTGATGCCCCATATACGTGTAAAAAGTAAAAGGACTGTTCTAACAAGAAACAATAGAGTAATAACAAGTATCCTACCTTTATAACATCACAATACACTAGGTGTTGTATGAAAGCATATTTTTTAAACGATATGTTTTACTTTAAGAATGAGTGGTATATTTAGGTTTGCACAAACTTTTCTCGTTTAATTTCAAGTACAATTTACACATTTCAAATTATTAACATTGAAAAGAGAAGCGTAAAATGAAATGGTGGCCAAAAAAACAGTAGGATGAAACGGCCATCCAATGCTTCCATAATGGTCTAGTTTCAATTAACTCACGAATTCAACAATTAAATGACTATAATAGCCTCAAAATTATTTTCGGATAAGAATATCATTGTTGACAAATACACACACACACACATAGAGACAGATAGAATATACTCTGACGACAGTTAACGAGGATTTAGTAAATAATTATGAATGAAGGGGATGCATGCGAGAAAGGTTTCAAATGACCTAGTTCGTCTTAACTTGGTTTTATCAACAAAACGTTATCCACTCGGCCACTGAGTCCTGATAGCCACTCGCTTGTGCAATGGGGTGAAGTTGAAATTTACTTAGTATTGTTTGTTTGGATCTTCCCATTGATGTTTTGAGGACAGCAACTGGTCAGTCTGTAATTGGCATATGTGCATACTGTGCGTATTGCCTCGATATAGCCTAAATTCACAAGAATAGTAAGCAGATGGATAGTGGCTACCAGTGGAATCCAGGACTCAGTATACAGTATGCATATATGCCAATTAGAGACTGACCAGTTGCAGTCCTCAAAACATCAATGGGAAGATCCCAACAAACAATACTAAGTGAATAAGTAAGATAATCATGTTGAAGCACTTGAAATAAGGATAATGTGTGGAGGTGGTGGAAGTTCTAACTAACGAAGGTTGAGTCCTAATTATATCACCATCATAAGTGAAAAAATAATCACTATCAACAAGTTGACTAGAAACAATCATTATTTTTTGGTCTATGATATTAATTGTATGCCTGGACAGAAGTAAAGCGAGGTTCGAACCCGGGGCTTAGTGTTTTGTAAGTCAATCCCGATAACCATTGAGTCACCGCTCCACAGCATTATCATAATATCAAGAAACTTTGTCAAACGATGATTACTTGTAAGGGATATGAATTAATATGATAACAGAAGGAACAAGAACTTACGGATTCTCTTCTGAATATGGAACAGCTTGATTTAATTTAATTGTTTGTTGTTCGAAAAATGTTTTTGTATTCTCTTTTTTATCATTACTATTCTGCTTACTAGGTGATGATGATGAAGATGACGCTGATGAAGATTTGTCAGCTGATTGTTTGATCGGCGAATTTTCACTACTACTAGTTGTTGGAGTAGTTAATGAGCTGAAAAAGTCCACGATAGTACCAATAATATTAATAATAGTAATAACGATAATAATATGAATGACAATAACTAAGATCAACATCAATACACACAAAGAGGACATGAATAAAATGCAAACTATACAAAAAATGGGAATAATTACATCGATGTAAGTAAAAAGCGAAACAGTCAGGGGATTAATTCAAAGAAATGATTCAAGGAATTCTAGTAAGCCGTGAACAATGAAATTCGACCAAATGTGAGTGATTGAAAGACAGGTTATCAGTATCACGAAATATCAAGACACAACAGATATAAAGTGCTTCATAGTTTTCATGTTTTATTTGTAAGTAGTATATTGCGGAAAGTGGAATTTAAGTTGCAACAGTCGTCAGACGGAATGAAAAGTTTCACTATAGGGAAAACACGACGTGGGGAGAATACTTGGAGACCAGACAAGAAAAAAGGTCAGATTGCAGAACACATCGAAATATGTAAATAGATGATTGAAAGCTATGTATATGTATTATGTAAATGCTTTGTAACTTCTTACAATAAATACAGATTCCTTCTGCATACTGCATTATTTTACAGTCAAAATACATTAAGCAATTCAAATGAATTAACCAACAACGAACCATTTTACTATGATCACAGTCAGCTAAGTGAAGATTGACTACTCAAACTATTCTGCTGACATACATACACAAATTGACAATATGCATAAATACGTTTGTCAGTTGACAGAGCGTCACCATCAGAGACATAATACGTATTAAAACAAAAATCTTACTTTGGTATATTTGACATTGGTGGTGCTCTAGATAATGGACATTTTAGATTAGGTGATTGGGAATCTGAACCAGTTGGACGAACTTTATCTGACATACTAAAAGTATTCATACGTCGTACAGATAATTGATCACCACCACTAGAGGATTCCATCATTATATCTTTACTTTCATCGATTTTCTCTTGAGCAGAAGAATCATCCAGATTAGAATCATTACCACGTTCGCGTAGATCACATACACGAATACGTGGAAGCGGACGAGATCTTTGTGTGTATTTGAAAAGCAATTAAAAAAAACAAAAGAAAAAGATAAATAAATACACCGACAATAGGGCTAAAACTGTTAGAATCAACCAATCATTGCGTAAGACACAAAAATCCGCTTAAATCTACGGTAATAGCAGTCAGACATTAGTAACGTAGGATCTAGTACATGTGTGAATCTATTTAAGTTGTTACACCATATAAACATAGAGAGAGTCAAATTATCAATACAGATATTAGAAGTAGTAACACTATCAACAGTAGTAGAAAAGATTGGTCATTAGCAAAATAGTTTAAGATTTTAGACAAGGATCGAATGCATCTATGCCGTTAGAACCGATCCTGAGCCTAGTTATTCAATGTATTTGACCATTTGGTGTCTGAGTATCGATACTGATATACAATTTTCTTACACATGAGTACGTACGCCATATATATATATGGCTGCCGATGGTGTACATCGCATTTCATTATCGTTCAACGACAAAATAGTTGTCCAATGTCGCCTGGATTGAAATAATTTTCAATATCAGTGGCGTAAATTATAAATGTTAATATCGTTCTTCAAGCTCAGTTACGTCATAAACTGATATCTTATCAAACGGTTGCAATACAAACCTAAAACCAATCTTCATAAAAAACTTCGTTTAAGAAAGGAAAGAGTTAGTAAAGAAGGTTCCAACCAGAATGGTATGAAACAATAGTCATCATTATATATCATCAGGTCACTGGATTTTGTCTGTTTCTGTTTTTATTTTTTATTCAAACACATACATATTGGTACAGAAGGGCATCAGATACATATGCGCCACACACAAACTAGGAATAAAATGGAGTTAATAAGCGATATGGTAAATAATAATAATGATGCAAATTGTCTGCCATATAGTAAGCGCGTAAATAGAATTGTCAGTAAAAGTCATCATTTCATTTATTTGTGTGAGGGCTGTGATACTGACCAGGTGCACAAAAAGAAGCAGGTGGTTTTCTTTGGGGGCCACAACCCGAGCTTTTGACCTAAAGGTCTAATCCACAAGGCAGTGGAGCATCGTAAGGAGATGCAGTCACATGGTAGCCGGTGACCAACGATTGGTTCATACATCATTTGTTCCCTCAGGTTATTGGAGCCCATGTGCATCATTGGTTTGGAATCATGGTTTTCCAACTCCCCTAGGTGGACTTTCTGTGTCCTTCAACCCAGTTAAAGCGCCGAACATTCGCTTTTAGTCCGCTCACTTTCGTGAACAACACCCCCGCCACGAGAAGGCATTGAGTAGGACTTCCCTGACAGAGGCTGTATAAGCGTGGCCATGTGAGAACATTTCGAGAGGGAGAGCGGACTCTCCCCACTCTCGGCCGTACCAGGTCATTTGGGGGCGTCTGTTTCTGTGACGAAGAAACTTATTAGACTAAAAAAAACTCAGCATAAGGTGATCTTGCTGATGTCATTTTCATCGATACTTGACACTAATCGGTAGCTAATGTAAACAATTGGTAAACGATAACAAAGTGGAAAATGATACTTACAACAAACTAGTAAACAAACAAAGACAATCATTGTATACATATGTGTGTGAACACACATGAAAGAATATGAAAGTCTATTCACCAATTACAAAAAAGGCTAACAAGTATTTATACAGAAAAAAAAGACTCATGTTGTATTTTCTTTTACATTGTCAATAGTATCTATGCACATCTATGAACACTTGTACTCGTAATTTCGCTAACTTACATAAATACTCACGTGTTGGTGTGTAACACAAGTGAATGCACACATAATTGTGTTGTTTAACCGTGAAAATAAACAACAATAACAAAATGTCCCTATTTCAGAAAAAAACAAATTAAGTAAAGCTAGTTATAATCTACTAAATTTGGGCCCCCGACTGCCCGGTACGGCCGAGGATGCAATGAGTCCAGCCCCTCCAAATGCTCTCACATGGCCATACACACACAGACACTACCACGAAAGTTTGAATCACTGCCTTTTCGTGGCATTAGTGTCCCTCTTAATGGATTAAACACAGATGATTCATTTAGGGGAGATGGGAAACCTTGATTCCAAACCGATGGTACACATGGGCTTCTAGATTTTGGTCGAACAAATGGTATTAATTCACAAGCACTATAAGCAAAGATGGATCTTATATTACGTAATTTGTTACTATTTCATCAACTAAATATTGATTACTGGAAATTATATCAAAAACGAATTACAATAATAATGTAAGTAGGTATGATGATACAATCTTCATTTTACTATCGGTCAACTACCTTAAACGTTCCTCTGAAATCCCAAATGTGGATGAGTGGGATTTTCTTTTCGAGATTTTCATATGTTCATGGATTCACTGATTTATATTAATGAAAGTCATTTTAGAAATCCAAGGTATTCGTAGTCGATAACATAGAAGTTAGACTAGATTTAGAGATATAAAAGGTTAACCAAAAAGTGATGAACGATCTTTATTTGAAGACGGTGACTAATAAAAACAACCACTATGAAAATGTATCTATCACCTTAGATCACAACTTTATTATCATTATAACTGTTATCATATCTGTGTGTTTTCTTAGAATAGTGACCAGAGTCCAGGCTGAAGAAGATGACCTACTCGAGGGACCTTTTTTCTGTGCATTAGGACTAGAGTACTAATGATACGCCAGCGAAACAACGTCAGGAAGTACCATTCCAGGATATCCGCCGATAAAATTAAGTCCAACGTACAACGTTAAGTCAAAATCAGGGTTTTTCATAGAGCTATTGCCTAAAATAGTTGATAAATAAGTAGTCAGTACAACATACATCGAACAGTAGTATTCAAATTGATATCTTTGAGGAGGCATATTTTTAAATACAAACACATATGCAAAAAATAGAACAAATCAGAAATCATTAATAATTATAATAAATAACAACTCACTTTTCATCTACACTCAATTTCTCTTGTCTATTAGATGTTGGACCAGCACTTGCACTGGAATAAAAAAAACACACATTGAAACGGTTTTAATGAAACAATAAACGAATTAATCAAGGAGAGGTTAATCATTGAAACGGTCCTACCAGACATTCAGTCAGCATAAATTGACATATCACACTAAGAGAAATGATACTAACAAGATGAATACCAAACAAGACAAAATAATAACAAAACCAATCAATATGAAGAAAGAGATAACATTGAAGATGCTTAACTGTGATGATCGGACGAGAACCGGTGCTTTCAACGTGATATGGTCGCCGACAAAACATTGAAGATATAGAGTAAGAGAATAAGTACCAAAAATGATTTACAGAATTTCATTATTGTTATACATTTAAGATTAAGAAAACATTCAGAAAACAAATGACTTAATTCGATCAGAAAGTATCATGTACAGAGTAGTTATTTAGATTGAATTGATTGTATCACTCCAAAGAATTAGAATATAAACTACCGTCTAAAAAACAAATATTAAGGCGACGGCGTTTGAAGCGAAAGGTACTGGGTTCGAGTACCAGAGTGAACATCAACTCTGAGATGCAGGTACATCCAGATGACGAGTCCCAAATAAGAAGAAACGCGCGTTAAATTGGATTCCACTGCTAGCCACTATCTATCTTTGCTTACCATTAACGGGTTATGGTTTTGAACTTTCAACTGGTCAACATAACCCAAACTTGATTGATTTAGTTATTCAATTAAGAATTGGCATACTTCATTCTTAAAAAAAATATCACCATGGGAATTTAAATAGAGTTCTGTCTAACAAATTTAAACATGTTAGATACTATTTTCGATAAAATATGGCCAGATGTTACGTGAGCATTTAAAATTCAATTGATTGACTAACCTTTGCTTCATCCAAGAGATACCACTGATCCGTCGTACTCCATTATGTTGAGATCCACTACCGTCTTGTCCGGACTCTTCTACATTAAAAAACAAACAAACAATTTATACACCAAATCTGAAAGCCAAAAAAAAATGCTTGCAAGACTATAATTTATGAACGAAATGATCAAATATAAGATAATAGGTCTTGGATTATGGGATGAAATTCATAAATCTATTTGATTAAATAGAATTTTGACATTTAAGATGATACTGATTCCTGATGGAAACACTAAATCTAATTTCTAATCTTATTTATCAACTGCTAATTATAATTTTAATTCCTCATATTGGTTTACCATCATCATAATTATCATCTAGTCCTAGTTAGTAGATGAACATTTTAAAGGTTACTTCAGTGTCACTTAAATGTTGTCTATAAATTATAATGTCATCAAATAACTATAAAATATATTCTATCAATACTATTATGGTGTGGGTTACTTATATCCACATAAGTAGTATATGACGATGAACAGGCAGAGGATTTATTTCACTACAAAATCGATAAGGAAAGAAAGGAAACGAAACGTAATTGGTATGAAAATGCATAAACAATGAAATCAGAGATGATGGACTGATATTTGCAAAAAGAACAGTCAAGATTGAGACTGATTGATAGTTTGCCAATTAACTGTTTACTGTATCAAGACTCAGCAGCTGAGTGGATAACGTGATGGTTGAGTTCGAGTCCCATAGTGAACATCAACTCTGAGATGCAGGTACACCTAGCCGACGAGTCCCAAATAGGACGAAACGCACGTCCTGAATTCCACTGAAAGCCATTATCCATCTTTGCTTACTATTCTTGTGAATTTAGGCTATATTGAGGCGATACGCGCATTATGCACATATGCCAATAAGAGACTAACCAGTTGCAGTTCTAAACATCAATGGGAAGATTCAAACAAACAATACTAAGTGAATGTTTACTGTATGATTGTCAGATTTTAGTGGGATAGTCTGTAATTTTTGTGTCAAATCCATTCGAAAGTCCCCACTTGTCCTCATGTTCACTACACTATTAACATCATCAACCGACAAGTCAATTCGTTTTACTCTAAGCTAATGTGTAAAGTGATCATATTCAATGTATCAAACAACGACAGCGATAGATACACGAGTAATTAAAACATACGAAAGATTAACACAAGTACAATGTAATAAAAAAGAAAATTATAAACTGTCCCCCTTTTTTTATTATCACTATAATCAAATAACAATAAATGATTGGAGAGGGGTAATTGTGAAACATTACATATTACTAATGATGCATATAACTTATAAGAATATGTATATTCTATTCTAATAAATAAAAGGGTAATAAGATGAAGAAAATTAGGCAAGTGATTTGTAGGAGTTACACGTAACTATTTACATAAATATAGTAAATGTCATATTACCTATAGAACATAAATAACTGATATGTCTTGTAAGTTGAACGCTATATTCAGATCCTAAGCTAGTTCCGTAACCCCAGACTAGAACTACACAGCAACTTGAACACCAGAGAGAAGACACGAGTATGAGAGAAACACTTTACTGCAAGGTTCATTTATGTATAGAAAATATAGGGATTTTATAGTAATTTAAGAGTCCTTGAGTTTTAATGAAAGTTCTAGAATACTGCTAAACATAGTAGCAGTTTATCAATCAGCCAATCAGGATCTCCGTATGTGACATTTCCATTTTCGTTATTTTAGTAACATAACTTCTAATTAATCGCTGATTGGTTGAAATGCTCCTTGATGACCCCTGAGCTTGTCATGTCGCTTGCGAGCAAAATGCAGGGTCATCCCAACGATAACCTATCTGACTATTTAGTTTTTCTTTTTTTGAAAGATTTAGTGAACTGATATTTACATATAGGGCCCACTGACTACCTTCGTCGTCATAGTAACAAACAAATGTACCGATATATGAAGATAAATTTATGTAACTCTGGAATAATTAAAAAAATACAAACAAACAGATAATCCTGAAATTTACTCAATACTAAGTAAATTTCAACTTCATCCCATTGCACAAGCAAGTGGCTATTAGGACTCAGCGGCCGAGTGGATAACGCGATAGCGTTTGAAGTGAAACGTACTGGGTTCGAGTCGCAGAGTGAACATCAATTCTGAGATTCAGATACATCTAGCTGACGAGTCCCAAATAGGATGAAATGCGCGTCAAACTGGATTCCACTGTTAGCCACTATCCATCTTCGCTTACCCTATAATAATTTAGTTACTAAGACGCCTTATGGTGATAAACATGATGAGACTGAAGAATAGAAGCCAACTTGATCAATTCTGAAAAATGACACTAATAAAGTGAACAATTTTTCAGAGGACAGGTAATAGAAAACAAGTCTATTCTGAATATATATAAAATTTGAATATTATGTTTGAGTTTATCAAAATAATTTACAGCTTTTTGATATTAATTAGTTGAATACATGAGTCAATGAAAGCTAGACCACCATGAAAAAACATGGAAGCATTTCGTCCTATTATGAAACACTTCAGCATTGCGCATCCACGATCCCGCACACTACACTCGAAATCAGGACCTATCGGTCTCTCGTAATGTGTATCCTATCCACTTCCATCGTCTTTTCTTAATTTTCTCTTCAACTGGAACCTGGTTAGTTCTCTCCCACAATAGGCTGTTACTGATGGTATCCAGTCAATGGACATTGAGTATAGTGTCTAGACAGTTGTTTATAAAAACTTGTACATTTTTGATGACGGTTGTGGTAGTTCTCCACGTTCCAGATCCATACAGTAGAATTTTCCTGAACTTCACATCCAGTATTTATATTGGTTGACAGTTATTTTGAGTTTCATAAGGAATGCAAATAGGTGAATCTATCCTATATATTAACCAAGTCACATATGTAGAACATGAAATGAATCAAAGACTGGATGGTCTAAATCTAAATACCTCAATTATAGTCAATATTGCATTATTTTAAAGAATCCCAAAACCGTTGATTGCTGACTCAGTAGTTTAGAGGTTAAGCAATCGCACATGAGACCGATAGGTCCTGGATTCAAACCTCAGGGGGCGGGATCATAGATGCGCACTTCCACTGAGGAGTCGTCCAATGCTTCCAGGTTTTCCATGGTAGTCTGTCTAGCTTCAATTGACTCATAATCTCAATTATTAAAATGTTAAATTTATTTTATACAAATTGATATAATATGTAAAAGATGAATTGGATTGTCTTTAATAACAAAAAAAAAAAGTGTAATCAATAATCTGTATCATGTTTTTGTTATTATTGTTGATGAATTGACATAAATCCGTTATAGTTTAGTGTGCTATTTAGTTGTTGTTATTATAAACCATATTTGAATTTACCCTTAAACAATAAACTTGTGACTAATCTCAAATTAGTTATAATAAACACAAATAGAATAGAATTGTCAAATGAATTAAATGTATAGGTATATATTAGTATACATATTTATATGCTAATGAATTCATTCAATCTATTAAGTGAATAAAAAAGGTCTATGTAGATATACAACCAAAGAAAAAATCAAATCATCAAAACAAAGTAGTTTGTTTTCAATAGATTTTTACATGATTTCAAATAAACTATAGTTTATAAGTGATAACAGTCAGATACAATGTAAGACCAAGTACATATACTCATACCTTAGTAGCACAACAAGATGAATACCGAATTCATAGAAGTAGTTACTTCAATGGTGGTAATATATAAAAGAAAGATTGTGTATGTACTACAAGAAAAGAAGACACCTACGCCATTGTGATCGATTGTGAGCCATTTCACCCAGAGTTTCCAACTATTGGTTACGATAGTCATGCAGACCCCAACCAAATAGTCTGCATCTACCAACATGACTGAGACTACAAGGACTGATGCCACATCTTGGTTTGGCCGCCTTCTAACTCTCTTCAGTAATGCATATCCCGGATATACCAGGGAATAACCTTCAAGATTTGTTAAGCCATGGATCGAGTGTTTAATCAATGAATTAACATTTCATAGTCAACATATTCGATTTAAATCAATTCATAATACTGAATCATTTTTTTAATGCTACTAATCAACAAAAAAGAACTCCCTAGGTGACACTTTTACACTAGAACTCAAAGAATTATCACTTAAAATTAGTCACTAATGAATACATAATTGTTATGATCGACATTCCACCACTTATTTATTTATTTAAATACATAAATATAGGTATAAAGGGGTACCAGATACATATGCACCGCATAAATCTCATTTGATTTGTGTGAGGGCTGTGATACTGCCCAGGTGCCCAAACTGAAGCAGGTGGTTTTCCTAGGGAGCCACACCTGGAGCCTTTGACCTAAAGGTCTCATCCACAAGGTAGTGAAGCATCGTGAGGAGATGCAGTCCCATGGTAGCTGGTGATCAACGGTTGATTCGTACGCCATTTGTTCCTTCAGGATACTGGAGTCAGCCCATGTGCACCATTGGTTAGGAATGAGGGTTTTCCAACTCCCTAAGGTGAATGTGCCGTGTCCACTAAACCGGTTGAAGCGCCGGACATTCGCTTTTTGTCCTCTCAAATTCTTATACAACATCCTCGTCACGAGAAAGCCATGAGTAAGACTTCCCTGGCAGAGGCTTTATTACGTGTGGTCATGTGATAGTATTTTGGGAGGGCGAGCGAACTCTCCCCACTCTCGTCCATACCAGGTCGTTTGGGGCATTTCACAACTATTTTTTCTCTCCAAAAGAATACCTTAGTTAATAGTCAGAAAAAGAGTTAAAGTCTGGGAACAAAAAAAAATTACTGGACAACAATAATCGTTATGCAAAAGTAAACAAAAAAATTTTTAAAGAAAAAACACTGACATGTAACAAATTTAATCGAAATAATCGTTGTAACTTTAAACAAGAGAATAAATAAATAGAAAATAAACATTATAAATTATACAAAGACTCTTGCCTACCACATAAACACACACACACACACACAGAAGGATGAGAACAATCGTATGACAACAATAAAAATAATAAAAAGAAGATAAGACAAAAAAAACAATTTTTTTTTCTATTCCAATCAATATGACAATAATTAACTCTTTTTATTCGACTGAACAACCAGAAATAGAGAAAGAGAGAGCAAGCGAGTGTGTAACAACAACAGAGAGAAGGAGAATACTTTTTCTTTTTTTTTGTTACTTTTCGATACAAATATAATGATTTTATTGATTATTATTTATTGAATATATAAGAACAATTGAATAAATAAATAAATGGAAAATCTGAAAGCACTGGACGGACGGTTCGTTTTATTGTGGGACTCCTCATCAGTGCACATCTACGATCCCGCCTCGTGAGATACGAACCAAGGACCTATCAGTCTCGCGCTCAAGCGCTTAACCTCCTAGATCACTGAGCCGGCATCCAACTGTCCCACAATAGGACGAAACGACCGTCCAGTAATTCCACGTTTTACATGGTGGTCTGTCTAGCTTCAATTGATTCATGATTTCAACTATATAAAATTACTAGAATCTCAACAAAACCACCTTCAAATATTTATGTATTCTGAGAAATCTATGTGTGTATGTGTGTCATCTCAGTTGATGAAGATTTATGACCTTATCAACTGATTTACCATCATTCCCTAATACACCGAGTCTCAACCTCACCATTACTTACCCGGTGATCTCAGCAGATGTAAGCAATATTTCTAAGATATCTGTGGTCAAATACTAGTAGTTGACAAGTATCTCCTACTCTTAATGGACACGTTTCGCAGCTAGAACGAACTGCCGCGTAGTATACTGGTCCCCTAATTATTAGACGGGTTTGTATAGACCACCCAAAACTTAATTTCCTTATTAGGTTGCTCAAGAACTATCCTTTACCTGCGTAGTAAATTTGTATATAACAACTCTCCCAACAAACTTTAGAAACCAGTCAAAATCATCTTATCTATGAGTGTATATAATTTAATGACTTCAAAAAATATATTTTAACAAATTATATCATTATTCTAATACAATAAAATGATTAGTGTCAGTCAGTCAATCACAATGTAGAACTTTGTACGTACCTACATCAGTTCGAGTTGCCATACAACATTAGCACAGAGATGAAGTTGTCGATTCAAAACCCATAGTGGTACAGGTAGTAAGAGTATAACCAGTAATCCCAAAGATTAGGGTTTGAAGATGTTATTGAAAGAGTATAATACAATGAAATAAATTTGGAAAGAGAAAAAGGATAGGGACATGAAGGATTCAGAAGAATAGAATTTGGTAGAACACAAAGAATGGATGCACCTTCGCCATTGCAAACGATTTTGAGCCATGTCATTCAAGGTCTCTCTACTGCCGACTGTACAGAGATGTGACGGCACTGGAGTGTTTTCTTCAAACAGCCAGCATAACAGCGATGCTGCCTTCCCACAAGGAGGGGTTGGGTTAGAAAAGGTCGACCCTAAAAATGCACACCTCGCCTTATCCCACGGATTTAGTTCTCCGACAGTAAGGTCTTTTGCAGAACGGAGCTAACGCGAAAATTACCCACAAAAATGTCGTATGTGACCAACCTCAAGCAGTTGTTCATTGGGCACTGCGGTTACGCTCTCAGGTCGTTAAGACCAACACTAATATGATTAGTGTAAAAATGATGACTCAAAAAATGTGACCAAAAAGGACCAAAAGATAAAAGAATAAATTTTAAGAAGAAAAAAAACAAAAGCAATCCTAATTCATTTGCATATACATTCGATAGGATAGAATTTTTCAAAAATCTATAAAATAATTTTATGGATGGATTTTTTTTGTTTTTACGAGATTCGATAATAGTATAAGATAGGTGGTACACTACGATAGAAGACGGTTTTCGGAATACTAACGAGTCCCAAATAGGACGAAACGCGCGTCAAACTGGATTCCACTGCTAGCCACAATCCATCTTTGCTTATAATGCTTGTGAATTAAGGCTATATCGAGGCAATACGCACATATAGCAAGTAGAGACTGACCACTTGCAGTCCTAACACATCGATGGGAAGATTCAAACAAACAACACTAAATGAATCTAACAATAAAAAGTTCCATTTAGTACATTTTTCGGTAACCAAATGGAAAAACAAATAATTACAAAACATTGTGGCTCAAAAAACAGAGAATATAAACGTGTATTTGTGAAAAATGAGGTACATTTATTTCCACACAGTTTTTTATTTCATGTGTAGGCCAATGTAGTAGGCTGCAGTTACATTGTAAGCAAATTTTATTTCACAACTCACTACTACTACTACCACTACAACCAGATGGTGTAATGGTCATTTTTTAAAAAAACGATAAACTACAATAACATGACACAAGATAGATATCAGTACGAAGAATTTGTAGAGATTGTAGTATTTTCGCAGTTGATATCACGAAGTGAATGTAGCTCGGCCATCATTGAAAGCCTGTATTTTAACTGTGAAAATACAACAATCTCTACTAATCCTCCATACTTATAATAGTCCTCTGCTAACTAGTTACTAGGTTCGAAATATAACTCTTGGAGTTCTAGGGGAAAGCCGTGACCAGTGGAGTTCAATTAGTTTCGGGTGTAAGACAGTTATCCAACGCATGCAATGGATAAAGGCTGAAGATCATAGAATGATTGAAGTTAGAGATTAACACCGTTGGATACGAGCTCAGTGACTTAGACGTTGATCGTTTGCGCGTGAGACCGAAGGCTCAAAGTTTGAGTCGCGAGTGAGGAATCATGGATGCGCACTAACGGCGTCCATATTAAGATGATGGTATCCAATAGATCGAACTCAAGTGACTTATCTCACATCAGAATCATAATGTAAAGCAACTTACAAAGTTAGCAAAACTGGCTTCAATGTAGAATCAATCAGAAATTTTCGTACATAGAAAAAACTTTAAGGAGTTCACTAATTTAAATCGAACTACAGTATTCAATTACTCATTTTACCATGGTGTTTCCCAAATGCCCTGGTGCAGCCGAGAGTGGAGAGGGCCCGCCCTCTCTCTCTCTCTCGATATGCTCTCACATGGCCACACGCACATAGCTTCTGCAAGGGAAATCCTACACACTGCATTCTCGTGTCAGGAGTGTTGTTTACGAAATTAACAATACGATAAGCAAATGTCCGGCGCTTTAACTGGGTTGGTGTACACGGTGAGTCTACCTAGGGGAGTTGAAAAACTCCGATTTTGAACCAGTGGCGCACATGGGCTTCAGAATCCTGATGGAACAAATGGCGAATGAACTAATTATTGGTCACCGGCTAGCATGAGAATGCATCTCCTTACGATGCTTCACTACCTTGTGGATCAGACCTTTAGGTTAAAGGCTAGGGGTGTGCCCACTCCCAAGAAAACCACCTGTTTCGGTCTGGGCACCTGGGCGGTATCATAGCCCTCACAAAATTAAATGAAATGACAATCTTTTGTGTGGTGCATATATATATGGTGCCTTGTTGTACCAATATTTGTCGAACAGACAATTATCTCTCACATAACTCTACTTCCTGAACTGCTGATCTACCACATTTCTTGAGAGTCAAACAACTTTCAGTCTTGATAAACTTGATATTCTTGTTCATTTATCCATTATCCGTCCTACTGTTACATAACAATCTGTCTATTATCATCATACTATATGTATATACTATATATTCGACGCCTATTATAAAGCATTTACTTAAACTAGCTTACTTTTGCTTTGGTAGGTTAATCCATTTTGATTAGTTTTCTGTTTATTATTATTGTTTCCATTGGAATTGTCTAGGGAAGACTGAACTTTCGATGATGGATTAGTTTCATCTTCTGTCACAGTAGCAGGAGTAGAGGAGGCATCAATTGTAACACCTTCAGAACCGGATGATTGATGATGATGATTAAGTCCTATATTCCCATGCAATGATTGTGATTGATTAGATGGAAATAGACTACCAGCTGGTAAAGTTAATCTTGTTTTTGGATCAGCTAATAATAAGTAAATTGCAGTGACATTATTAAAACTTTGTTTGATTAAAGCTTCACGGACATCATCCGGTCGATAACCCATAATACGCATAATTTCTAAATAAGATACAAAAGGTATATAAATGAGTATATAGAAAATCAATTTTAGAAGATGATGCATACATGATAGTCTTTAAATCGACTAACATCAATCAGCTACAACGTAAGACCAGGCAAATTTATGCATCGATACAAGTGGCCATACCTCGTTAGCACAAGATGAATACCTGAGCTTTCAATAAGAATGTAATCATCATCACTCTAGACAGAATATTTTCGTTGAAAAACGAAAATATTAGTCATTCAATGTCATTAGTATTCGATACATTTATCCATAGTAGTGTATGAATGATCTCGAAATTTGTAGAATTAACAAAATTACAAAGTACACACATAAATCGATAAAACGTGAGTATTCACTAGTGGCCCTCAAATGCTCTAGTACGGCTGAGAGTGAGGAGAGTCCGCTCTCCCTCTCGAAATGCTCACGCGTATATAGCCTCTGTCAGGGAAGTCCCACTCACTGCCTTCTCGTATCGGGGGTGTTGTCTACGAAATTAACAAAACAAGGAAAGCGAATGTCTGGCGCTGTAATCGCGTTAACGGACATGGAAAGTTTACCTAAGGGAGTTGTAGAACCCTGATTTCAAACCAATGGTGAGAAAACGTTAACACTGGAGCTTAGATTTGTTGGATGTAAGACAGTTACTTATCAACAACAGTAATGAAATACAATTATTCAATATCATGAATTGATTGAACTTAGATGTGTAGACCATTAGAGATCGATTAAGTGGTTTAAATGTTAAGTTCACGCTCAAGACCTGAAGGTCTTGTATTAGATCCCCAGGTAAAGTTTCGGATGAGAACTGAAAAAGTCTCATATACTAGGTCAAAAGTAAATTATCACAAACAACGCTATTTCATCACAGATACAATACACTACACTATATTCAATTGGTTCAAATATGATATTTATTAGCATTAGGAGTTTTTTGTGGATATTACAGTATTTTCATAGTTGAAATCATAATTCAATTGAAGCTAGAACACCATGGATAACCTGGAAGCACTGGACGGCCGTTCAGTCCTATTATGGGACTCTTCAGCAGTGCGCATCCACGATCCATTGTTGAATAGATGGATAAATTACCAGTTTCATAAATAGTATGATTTTGGAACTTATGATATTCTAGAATTAAAGCGTATAGCCAACACTTTCAGATTTGAGATAAATAAATTCAAAACACTCTCTTTATTGTGATACACCTTTCGTTCATAAAGTCTATATGCATAAATGTATTAATAAAATGATGACCCCTGAAGACCAAATCAATTTCGCATCACAGTCTCTATCTATCTTTTAGAGAAAAGAAAATCATATGCTCACTAGTGACTGACTTCGAGAAGTACATCAAGGAGTTCTAGTGAGAAGCAGTGACCAGTGGAGTTCAAACCACGTCTGCTGTGAGATAGAAACTCACTGAGACAATTGGTGAATGGTTGCTCAATTTCGTGGATCAGTTGAAGTTAGACATTAACACCATTGGATGCCAGCTCAGTGGTTAAGGGCTCTGGCTCGAGACTGGTAAGTCCTCGGTTCCAATCTCGCGAGGTTGGATCGTGGATGCGCATTGCTGAGTCATCCCATAATAGGATGAAACGGCCGTCCTGTGCTTCCAGGTTTTCCCTGGTGGTCTAGCTCCAATTGACTCACGCTTTCAACTATGAAAAAGAAACACTGTATGAATAAATATCTAGTGAAAAAAGGTGGAGAATAAACAAACCTCTTCCCCAGATAATAAATGTAAAGATTTACCTAATCTCTCTGTATCATTATAATCCGGAGGTGGTTCAGTATAAGGTTTTAAAATATTATCTTCATAGCCAATATTTAACCATTTATCAGACATGACATTCTATAAACACAAAAAACAAAAACCAATTTAGAATATATTCAAACTGAAGCGATGAAAAATGAGAAAGGGTCAGAATATCCCAGTGTGTATGTGGCATCATCTGATGAGACTGTTATAACGTGGTGAATATCGAGAAAGCTGTAAATCTTGGAATCAATTTTATGGATGAATGTCATAGATATTTTATTATATAATTAGTAAGTAACGAGATTATAACATTTTGGTATCCCCCCTACTGGGAACTTTCTTAGAACCTATCATACTATCGCCAACTAATTATGCAATAATATCATTATTCCATACAACTACTATAAGCAAAATGGAATACAAGAGGTCAGCTAAGAAAACCTAATCGATATCACACATATAAAACTATTATAAATTATCGTTTATAGGTTAATCATGCGAAATAATTTGACAAGAACATCAAGTTAAGAACATCGATTTCATCTGGGATCAACAAATATGATCAATGATCATTGATGATTCCTTATTGGTTGAAACATTGAGGATTTCAATTGACAGTTTCATAATTCGTTGTTTCATGTAGTTTGATTTTAGGTAGTCATGTATAGAATTGACAGAATTCAAACGAATATAAAGCTAAGTACCTTGAATACATATATATACATGCCTAATAAATCAGTTACTGATTATTCCTAAACGGGAACATCATCAGGAATGGATAATCTAACAGGAGAAAAGAAACACTTACACCAATAATAATGTAATGATGAACAAATCATTATTATTATTTGTTCGTTTAATCATATAACGAAATGTTGGTAGGTGTAGAGTACCTGGCTGGGATTCGAGAGATGATAACAACTGATGGTTAGAGACCTTGAATGACATGGATCAAAATCGTTTGCAATGGTTAAGGTGCATCCACTCTTTCTGTTCTACCAACTTATAATCTTCTGAATTCCTCATGTCTCTATTTTATTCTCTTTCCAAATTATTTTCACTGGATTATACTTGTTCAATAACATCTTCAAATCCTAATCTTTCCAAATGCTGCTTATACTCTTACTACTTCTACTAATATGGGATTTAAATCGACAACTACATATCTGTGTTAATGTGGTATGACAACTCGAAATGATGTACGTACGTACTAAGTTCTACGCTGTAACTGACTGACTGATAACTGACAATTATTTATGCATATCAACAAAATCAAACTTTCAGCCTTATAGATGTTTTTTTTTGTTCAATAAGACAATGTAAATAGAATAAAAGAGATTCGTATTATTATTATCATTACTACTTTAGATACCTATCAGCTAACTGAAACGTAAAACACAATCGCACACACAATAGATAATGATGAAGACAAAAGAAAGCGAGGAAAAATGAAACAAAAACAATAAAATCAATAATCTTTTTTTATATTTTTACAGATCTAATCATCGAACACGTTGTAAATAAACAATTAATCACAATCATACATAGGACCAAGATGATGATCTATATAAAAACAGTCTATATACCTCTATATTCATACGTCTACCTATTCATATATATATATATATATATATATATATATATATATATTATTAATGATCAGCAGTGGAGAGAGTGGGCACTCCCTCTCCTAAATGCTCTCACATGATCACCCGTATATAGCCTATGTCAGTAAAATCCTACTCACTGCCTTCTCGTGGCGGAGGTGTTGTTCACGGCGAGTTCATCTAGGAAAGTTGGAAAACCCTGATTCCAAAGCAATGATGCATATGGGTCCCAGTAGCCTGGGGGAACAAATAGCGTATGAACCAATTATTGGTCACCGGCTATCATGGAAATGCATCTCCCAACGGTGCTTCAATGCCTTGTGGATTAGACCTTTAAATCAAAGGCTCCAGGTGTGGTCCCCTAAGAAAATCACCTGCTTCAGTTTGAGCACCTGAACAGTATCACAGCCCTCACACAAATCAAATGAGTTTTGTGTGGAGCATATGTATCTAGTGCCCGTTTGTATCAATATTTATATGTTTAAATTAATAAATGATCAAGTCTTCACAATGAGAATATTAAAATGTGTCCAATAAATATGTCCTAAGAAAATAAATAAACAACTTGTTTACATAATTATTTATATAATTTAATAAAAGTTTATTTGGATTGATGTTGTACAGTAAACATTTTCATTATTATCGTAAATGATAGATGTTAAAGTGATGCGGATCATACCATTCATGTTTTTGTAACATAATTAAAGTGAATGTATTTATTCTAGTAGATTTTATATGTAGGTAATGGAGGAATCTAGGATGTGTATTATATCTTGATTAGCACTTGTCGTTTCAATTGGGTTGGTGGACATGGAAAGTCCACCCACTGGAGTTAAGAAACCCTGATTCTAAACAAATGGTGCATATGGGCTCAAGTATCCTGGAGGGACATGAATCTATTGTCGGTCACCAGCTACCATGGGACTGCATCTACCCACAATGCTTCACTGCCTTATGGATTAGATGTTTAGATCAAAGACTCCGGGAGTGCGCCCCCCCCCAAAGAAAACCACCTGCTTCATTTTGGGCACCTAGGCGCAATATCACAGCCCTCACACAGATCAAATGAGATTTGTGTGGCGCATATATATCTAGTGCCCCCTTTGTATCAATATTCACGTGTTTAGTTAAATAAATAAATTAGATGATTAAGATCAATGTGGACAATTTCCAAAGTGTCCAGACAATGTTAATAATAATAATAATAATAGCCAATCAATCAGACAGAGATTATTTTGTTACCAAGGAAATGAAATATTTACAAAAAAAAGAAATCAATAAATCTAACCAAAAAAATCCCAACAACAAAAGTAGATAAGAAACAATTTCAAAGATGTATGAGTGTGAATAATTGAAGAAAAAAATGAGGAAGGATGATAATAGATTGTTTTTTATTAGGGAAAAATAAAATAAAATTAGGTAGGCGGAAAGAAATAGATAGATGATTATAAATGTGTGTTATTTAGTAACGACACATTTCCATTGAAAAAGATAATCAATTGCAGATATGATAAAGAAGACAATGTAACTAGAAATATAAACATAAATATCTTCTTTAAGAAAAGAAATGAGACTAATTTATAGAGTAGAAGATTATTATTGAAGAATTATTTATTTAAACACATAAATATTGGTAATAAGAAACATCAGATACATATGTGCCGCACAAATCTCATTTCATTTGTGTGACGGCTCGAATACTACCCGGGTGCCCAAACTGAAGCAGGTGGTTTTCTTAAGAGGCCACACACGGAGCCTTCGACCTAAAGGTCTCATCCACAAGGCATTGAAGCACCGTGGAGAGATGCATTTTCATGATAGCCGGTGACCAATAATTGGTTCATACGCCATTTGTTCCTTCAGGATACTGGAGTCAGCGCATGTGCACCATTGGTTTCGAATAAGTGTTTTCCAACTCCCCTAAGTGGATCCTCTATATCCACCAACCCGATTAAAGCGTCGGACATTCACTTTTGATTCACTCAATTTGGTAAACAACAGTAAGGTCACGAGAAGGCAGTGAGTAGGATTTCTTTGGCAGAGGCTATATATTCGCGTGGCCATGTGAGAGCATTTCGAGAGGGAGAGCAGACTCTCCCCACTCTCGGCCGTACCAGGGCATTTGGGGGCTTGTTATTGTTGATGGAAGTAACAAGTACAATAAGAGATATGTTAGTATATTTATAGTTTTTAAATGAGAAGATTCTATAGTCTTCTCCAAGTATCGGCTAGCGCTGATTGGATAAAAATTCACCAATCAGCGTGCAGCAACAGAATTGTGCATGGAACATGCTTTAAACCAATTTATGTCCCGTTAGCAACTTTGTTTCGTAAATAGAAGTAGCCGTATGGAAACTCCAGAGCTTGATTTCGTGTTGGTTGACATACATCATGAAGTTGTACCTACAGTCTACAGCGGATTGATACTTCTTAGACCATTCTAACTTGTCATTCCCGTTCCACAACTGTAATTTACCTCCTATCAGAAGGAGAATAAGTTTTTTCCTGATTATGAGTACTCAGCTGATAAAATGCCAACTTCCATGAAACTCAAATCAAACAGAACTTCTCTTTGACTGTCTAATATCGTGATTTACTATATACCATTTAGATTCATCTAGGTTAATAACGATATTGACTCTCGATCGATAAGATTCAACCTGCAATCTAAAGTTATAAAGGATGGTTTTTTGATTGATTACTTTATGTATTACTGTTCATTATATGTTTTTATTTCCTGAATAAAAGGAAGTTTTACCAAAAACAAACTAGTTAGCTATTATAGAATCTTTTCAAATCTTTCATAAATACTATTAAATGTTCTATTGGCAGCAGATAAATTGTCAATTTTATGTATTTTCATAGTTGAAATCATGAGTCAATTGAAGCTAGACAGACCACCATGGAAAACTTGGAAGCCCTGTACGGCTGTTTCATTCTATTATGGGACTCCTCCTCAGCAGTGTACATCCACGATCCCGCACTCGCGAGATTTGAACCCGGGACCTACCAGTCTTGCGCTAGAGCACTGACCTGGCATCCAAATATATATATATATATATATATATATATATATATATATATATATATATATAATCTTTGATAATAATGAAAAAACGGAGAGTTCACTTAGGGAAGTTGGAAAACCCTGATTCCAAAGCAATGATGCATATGGGTTCCAGTAGCATGAAGGAACAAATAGCGTATGAATCAATCGTTGGTCACCGGCTACCATGGGACCGCATCTCCTCACGATGCTTCACTTCCTTGTGGTTCAGACCTTTAGGTCAAAGGCTCCGGGTGTGGCCTGCTTCAGTTTGGGCACCTGGGCAGTATCACAGTGATCACACAAATCAAATGAGTTTTGTGTGGCGCATATATATTTGGTACCCCTCTGTACCAATGTTAATGTGTTTCAATAAATAAATAAATCTTATCCTACCTCATTATAACCAATTAATAATCATGAATAAACGTTAATACATGATTTTGAGAATGAATATGCAGATACACATACACACACACACTTACAAAAGAACAGAATTAAACATGAGAAAAACATTATTGTAGAGAAATATGATAATTAAGGTTTGTTTAGTCGACAAAAATTGAGGGACAATTTTCTCATAAAGGGGTGATGGTGGAAATAAAGGATGTACGTTACTATGTGAAAGAACAAAAAGAAATGAATGAAGGAAAGAAACGAGATGAAAAGAAGGGAATATTATATAGGTACTAAAGAAGATCAATAAAAACAATGAATGACATTAGTTACTAAGTCGAATACAAAGTCAATATACTAATTTCATTAGAATATTCAAAATAAATGAGATAAAGACATTGTTGAACAGAAGTAAATAGATATTAGGAAACGAATGAAATTGTAACAGCAAATGCATCAGTTAAAACTATTTAAAAGGTGTGATTTATTAGATGTCACTAAAGAACAAAGATAAACAAAGAGTTGTGAAAAAGAAGTCGTTTCTTACAAGCAAGGTAAGCAAAGATGGATAGTGGCTAGCAATGGAATACAGTTTGACGCGCGTTTCGTCCTATTTGGAACCCGTCATCTGGATGTACCTGCATCTCAGAGTTGATGTTCACTCTGGCACTCAAACCCAGTATCTTTCGCTCCAAACGCCATCGCGTTATCCACTCGGCCACGATGGCAATAGCATTTGAAGCGAAAGGTACTGGGTTCGAGTCCTAGAGTGAACATCAACTATGAGATGCAGGTACATCCAGATGACGAGTTCCAAATAGGACGAAACGCGCGTCAAACTGGATTCCACTGCTAGCCACTATCCATCTTTGCTTATCATGCTTGTGAATTTAGGCTATGTCGAGGCAATACGCACAGTATGCACATATGCCAATAAGAGACTGACCAGTTGCAGTCCTAAAAACATCAATGGGAAGATCCAAACAAACAATTCTAAGTGTATTTACTATATGGTTCTCATATTTTAATGAGATATTCGATGATTTTGTACCTAAATACATTCGATTGTCCCCACTTGTGTCCTTGTTCACAACGAAGTATTAACAGTACAATGAGTATAAATTTTAATTTATTTTTTTGTAGTGTTTTGGATTACCTCATTGGGAATTAACGAAACAAAATTGAAGCAAATTCGCAGAGAATGTACTTTTACTAACTGCAACTGTTCAAAATTGAATCGAAATATCAAGAATCGAATAATTTGAAACCGTTACAAATGGAACTATCATATTCAATGTTCACTCAATTCAACAGACTTTTTTCTACTAATCATTTCCATCTCACATAATATCACTTACATATACAGTCAATAAGCTACAACGTAGGACCAAGCACATTTATACATCGGTTCAAGTTGCCATACCTCATTAGTACAACAAGATGAACACCAAATTCATAGAACTAGTCAATTTAGTTAATTTAGTGGTGGTAATATGTAAAAGAAAGGTTGTATATAATGATATAGTATAGGAAGGAAGAAAGTTATGAAGCAATTTTAATCTCAAGGTTTAAGGGAAGATAAAAAGTGTATACACCTACGCCATTGTGATCGATTCTGAGCCATGTCATCTAGAGTCTCCAACCATTGGTTATGCGATAGTCACGCAGACTATACTTCATCTAACTGTTTGTTAGTAATTAACAATTATTTTCATGAACTTCATTTTTGTATTGATTGCTCGAATTTTCCCATTGATGTGTGGGATAAAGTGATGGCGTTTAAAGCCAACGGTACTGGGTTCGAGTCCCAATGTGAACATCAACTATGGGATGCAGGTACATTCACCTGATGAGTCCCAAAACAGGACGCATTGTTAGCCATGATCCATCTCTTTATTTTCATGAACATTTGAATTTTTTACAATAATTACGTAACACATAACCGACTGACTGATGGAAAACTACCCATGTACATATATATTTACTTGGTTACTTAGTTCAAGAGAAAAACTAGACGGTTTCAGTTAAACAACAAAGACGACAATAGAAAAGAGTGTTAAACGTGAAAAAGAGTAATAATTTATATTGATTTACCCTTAAAGTCATTCTTTTGGCTGGATTCAATACCAATAATTTACGTAATAATGCTTCACAATCAGTTGACATATAGAATGGAACACGATATTTGCCACGTAATACACGTTCTTGTAAATCCTAAAATAAATTTAGATAAATATGTATGATACATGCATATATGAATAAAGGGGGATGGAAACAAAATGAAACCTGATCAGAAATTTTAATTATTAATCTAAAAATTAAATGAAAATCAAGTGAAGTAGTTACCATGAGAATTACTTCCTATGTATATGTGTGTGTCCGCACATGTTTAAAGCAAGAATCAAATGCTGTATAGTTGTATATCCCCTTTCATGGACAAAGTTCAATATTCACTTGAATTTTAAAAAATTTTCACCTAAGGATCTTTTCATTCTATTATTTGGCTGGATCTGAGAAAGAATCAAACACTTTACAAAAGATAGTCCATGTGTCGGTAAGTGAACAGGAAGTCATTAAATAACATAAATATTCTATTGACGCTAATGTCATTTAAGTAAGTATAAAATGACTACTGCCTTCAAATGCCCTGGTACGGCCGAGGGTGATGAGAGCCCACTAACCCCAGCCGAGTGCCCTGAAATGGCCACGTGTATACAACCACTGCCACAAAAGTCCTATTCACTGTTTTCTAGCGGCATTACTGTTGTTTATGAAATCGACAACACGAATAGCGAATGTTCGTCGCATTAACTGGGTTGGTAGATACACACCTAGGGGAATCAGAAAACCTTGAATCCAAACCAATGGTGTACGTGAGCTCCAGAATCCCGAGGAAACAACTGAAGTACGAACCTATTGTCGGTCACCAGCTACCATGGGACTGCATCTCATTACGTTGTTCCACTGTCTTTTGAATCAGACTTTTAGGTCGAATACTCGAAGTTTGGTCCCTTAAGAAAACCACCTGTTTAGATTTGGGCACCCGGGCAGTATCACAGATCACACACAAATCAATGATAATCTTTACTGGCTTCATTGTTATTGTGTGACGTATACGTATTTGGTTCCCTTTTGTTCCAATGTTTATGTGTTCAAATAAAGAAATAACTAAGAATGACTACTGCATCAATAATTACATATTTTTTTAGTTGGGTAATGAAATACAACTAGGGTGAGAAATATTTGCATAGACAATGGCATATGAAACAGGAATTAAGGTCAATACATAAATTATATTGAACAAAATAAACAATTGCTTTGTAAGCAATCCTAAATGAGATATGTATACAGCAAAAAGAAAAAGGAGAACATCAAAATAAATAGTTGAGATCATGAGTCAATTGAAGCTAGACCATCAGAGAAAACCTGGAAGCACTGGATGGCCATTTCGTCCTACTGCGGGACTCCTCAGCTAAAATCTCCACGAAACCCAGCTTCTGATCCAAATAAATAGTTTATGCAAATCTTATATCTTATAAGTATTTCATAAATGGTATTTCTAAGACTAAGTTAAACAGTTATTTGAACATATATAAATTGGTACAAAGGGGAACCAGATCCATATGCACCACACAAAAATTGTCGTTTCATTTATTTGTGCGAGGGCTGTGATACTGCCCAGATGCCCAAGCTGAAGCAGGTGCTTTTCTCACAGCGCCACACCCCCAGCCTATGACCTGAAGATCTGATTCACAAGGCAGTGGAGGATCGTAAGGAGATGCAGTTCCATGGTAGCCGGTGACCAACGATTGATTCATATGCCATTTGTTCACTCAGGATACTGGAGCCAGCCCATGTGCACCATCGATTTGGAATGAGGGTGTTCCTATTCTCCACCGAACCGGTTAAAGCGCTAGACATTCGCTTTCATCCTCTCAACTTCGTAAACAACACCCCCGCCATAAGAAGGCAGTGGCGGTAAATAAAGTAATATACAAATAAACAATTCACTTTCTTTTCAAAAATTTTAAAGAAAAAAGTAGAATGATTGAAACTAACTTTTAAATGTTGTGCATCAAATGGTAATGATCCACTGACAAGTGTATATAAAATTACACCCAAAGACCATACATCCACTTCTGGACCATCGTATTTACGTCCTTGAAATAATTCTGGTGCAGCATATGGTGGACTACCACAAAAAGTATCTAATTTTTTAGATCCATCAAAAAGATTGGAGAAACCAAAATCGGCAAGTTTAATATTATAATATCCATCGAAGAGAAGATTCTCAGCCTGAAACATAAATCGAAAATTGTATTGATAATTAAAGTACTCTACTCTAGTATGTAGAGAATAGAACATCACTCTACATAGTAATGTTGACCTAATCTATGCGCTTCACAACATAGGTTCCATTGTATCTGCGTCAACGTATCCAATAGCTAAAGGTGAATATGGGTTTGTCATACCATTTTGTTTTACTGTTTTTCAAGGTGAAAACTTAAGACATGTAACTAATCCGTGATTGAAAAGAATACGGGAAAACTAAAAGTTATTATGAGGAGTATATATTTTCGATTTTTAGAGGACTTTCAGAATAAAAGATGATATCTTAGTGATCATACGTAACAACAAGTAACACGGCATTACTTCATGTAAACATCACATAAAAACGTGCTAACAATACATTGACACATTAAATGAAGATCAATAACACAGTCTTTTCATGAGTATTTGTATTTATTTCTGCACACTTTGTAACCTCATCTCCGATATCAAAGATTTCATCTCAAAAGACAGTCCTGTTTACTTTCATCCCAACATTTGCTATCCACTTCATCAAAGTCTACGGGAAGGCAAAGTCACTGGAAATCTAGCTTCTCCGTAAAAAAGTATTGCCACAAACCCAACAAAGTCACCTGAAGAAATTCCGCTTTGAAGTTGAAACTCGACGAGTTCGGTTATGCAAGTACAAATAACTAGTCTACTAAGTAGACGTCTAAACATCTAAATACACATGACAAGTATTGCATGGAGAGATAATTTACTGCTTAGAGCAATCTGATTGTAAATGAATTTGAAGTTCCAAATAATCAACTGACTTCGGTCAAACAATTACTGGGAACCAAGAAGCACTAAATAGCTATTTAGTTGTAGTATAGTACTATTCAGAGGCGAACCTATATACATCTACAAAGAATTGAACCTCGAACCTGAAACCCTCCAGGCGAGTGCTTAATCAACAGACCACTGAGTCAGCAATTAAGGGTTTATATTGTTATCTTCAGTTACTTCGCGACATTGAATGATCACACATTGCCAGTGATGATATTTATCTGAAGCGCGACATGGCTGAACTTCAGTGATCATGGCTCTTCACTAAAACTTCTGTAAACATCTCTTGACATTACGTTATTGGTTGTATATTTAAAACCTAGTTCTTGTTCAGTCTAGAAAATCAGATGGAACACGCTCAAAAACTGAGATGGTTAGATCAACAATCAAATCCCATAATTATACTTGAAAATCCTATACAAAATGACATGAAGAGAAAAGACAGAACAATCATCACAAACCTTTAAATCTCTGTGTACAATTTTCTTTTGATGACAATATTCAACTGCTGAGACAATTTGACGAAATGCAGCACGTGCTTCACGTTCTTTCATTCGACCATGTGCTACTAGGTGATCAAATACTTCGCCTTCATGATTCATTTTGTATTGTGAAAAGGGAGAAAAAAGTAGTGAAAGGGAAGGAAACTAATTATCCTTGACAAATATTATTGATTAGGTATAAATCACACAAAATGAACGTATACAATAATCTAGTAGAATATAGTTATTTGTCTTGTATGTGCTTAATTCTCAAACATATAGATAGACGTTTAGTATACTTGTTTTGTAAATAAGCCAGAAGAAAAATTAACACATCAACATTACTAAGAATCAACAATGTATAGAAAAACATGAAAACTGTAAACAGTAGAATGATACTACTCGTACGGTTTCGTGTGTCACTGTTCCAATCGATAATTCGCTACTTTCTGATTGGCAGTTTTATCTAGTCACACATTAACTAGGCATCCACTCGGCCACAAGATATAATAGATACAGTAAAGAAACCCGGTCATTTAAATTCACTTGGTATTGTTTAATCTGATTTTCCCATTGATGTTTAGAACTGCAATTGATCAGTCTCTTATTGTCATATGTGCATATTGCCTCGATATAGCCATAATTCACAAGCATTGTAAGCAAAGATAGATAGTGGCTAGAATCAATGAGAAGATTCAAGCAAACAAACAATACCAAGTGAATTTAAATTTTACCCCATTGCACAAGCAAGTCGCTGTCAGGACTCAGTAACTAAGTAGATAACGAAAAGGCGTTTGAAGCCAACGGTACTGGTTTCGAATCCCAGAGTGAACATCAACTCTGAGATGCAGGTACATCTAGTTGACGAGTTGCAAATAGGACGAAACACACGTCAAACTGTATTTCACTGCTAGTCACTATGCATATAAACGCGGTCATTGTTTAGAAAATATGATGAGTTATAGAACTACTGAATAGATCTACAAGCACTATATGCATTATCATACCTATAAGAGAATATATTCACTATGATTTCTTATCTGAAGTTAACACTATCTAGATACGTTTGGCAATTAGATACGCATTAGATTTAAGAAGTAACAATAAGAAAAAAACATTGTCCAACTATGACAGACTTACACAGTATCTCATACAAATCGATCATCATAAGTAAAAAAATAAACATAACTCAACGATCTGCAAGATAAGATATCAGGTAGTTGATCAGTTATAATTCTACACCTGATACACTTGTCTCTATAGTCAGTTATAAAAAATGTAGAACCTGATACAAGTTGGCACAGCGCAATTGTATATCGTGAGGGAATTATTGAGACAAATAACAGAGTAGTGAAATTAGTAACAGTAAAAGTGGTAGTAGAAAAAAGAATAGGCAGTGGCAATATGATATGAGAGAAAGAATGAACCACAAGAATATAAAGTATAAAATTGTTTAAAAACTCAAGATGTAAGGAAAGATAGGGAAAGAATGAATTTGCATCATCGTGAATAATTCTGAACTATGTCATATATAACCATGTTACAACGATGGTTCGAATCCTAATCAGGTATGGGCCGGTTCAACAGTCAACGACTTCATAGAATAATATTACGTTTAAGTTCGGCCACTCACAGTTTTCTTCCAACCTAACCTTAGATCATAAGAAATCATATGTCGAGGAATAAAGTGTTTAGGCATATATAATACATGTTCCAACCAACCCAATTAATAAAGATTCACAATCACATCAAATTATTTGCATCTTTACTCAGTATCTTGAATTTCAACACAACACTGATAACTTATCACTTCAGTAGATATTTCGTTTGGTACCAAAAAACAGCACAATGAAAAGAGAACAGTTATGTATAATTTTATTTATTTATTTACTTAAACACATAAATATTGGTACAAAGAAGCACCAGATACATATGGGCTGTGATACTGCCCAGGTGCCCAAACTGAGGCAGGTGGCTTTCTTAGGGGCCACATCCCGAGCCTTTGACCTGAAGATCTAGTCCACAAGGCAGTGGAGCATCGTGAGGAGATGCAGTCCCATGGTAGCCGGTGACCAACAATTGATTCATACGCCATTCGTTCCATCAGGATCCTGGAGCCCATGTGCACCAATGGTTTGGAATGAGGGTTTTCCAACTCCCCTAGGTGGACACTCCACATCCACCAACCCGGGTAGTATCCAAGCCCTCATACAAATCAAATGAGATTTGTGTGCCACGTATGTATTGAGTGCCCCTTTGTATCAATATTTATGTGTTCAAATAAATCAATAAATAAACTTAAGGTTAGTTATTATTGAAGGTCAGAATTGCAGAAATTTGCAAGTTGTTTCGAACTAGTTTTTGAGACCTTTCAGTATAACATATACGATCTTGAAATCATAGCACCTTTGAAGCAAATTTCAGATAGCACGATATCTACTAATTTTTAAACCACTAAATCATTATGTGGTGAGGTCTACTTATATCAAATATAAGTAGTGTATTGCGATGGTCAGGCATAGAATATATATTGGTAGAAGATCGATAGGGAACGAACAAGAATGAATGAATGCATGAACAAAAATAATCAGAGAAGATGGATTGATATTTAGAGAAGGAACAGTGAAGATTAAGACAATTGAATGTTATTTTGCAAATTAACTGTTCTTAGTAAGACAGTTTGTAATTTGTGCTTAAATACATTCGATTGTCCACAATTAGTGTTTTGTTCACTACAATTATATTATGTGACTACAATTTAGTGAAAACTATGATTATAGTCTTAAATAATCAACATGATTGAACACCATGAATCATGATTTCGTGGATCGGGTGAAGTTAGACATTAACACCGTTGGATGCCGGTTCAGTGGTACTGGGTTCGAACCTCGCTAGGCAGGATCGTGGAGGCGCACTGCTGATAACTCCCGTAATAGGACGAAACGAGCATCTACTGCTTCCCAGTTTTCCACAAAACCCCTTCTGATAATAATGATGATTTCGGACGCAAAAAAAAACTAAGAAATTTATTTCAAAGTTGATCACAGGTAGGTGATGGAGCATAAAACGTTAATCCGTTTTAGTTATCAACAATGAATTAAAATGATATCAGTTCATCGTAAAATAAGTATAGACATTATTAAGCATACTAACTCAGTCAGTCAGTCAGTCAGTCAATCACAACGTAGAACTTTGTACGTACGTACATCAGTTCGAGTTGACATACCACATTAACACAGAGATGTAGTTGTCGATTTAAATCCCATAGTGGTAGAGGTTGTAAGAGTATAAGCATTAATAGGAAAGATTAGGATTTGAAGATGTTATTGAACAAACATAATCCAGTGAAAATAATTTGGAAAGAGAAAAAAGAAAGGGACATGAATTCAAAAGATTAGAATTCAGGTGAACACAAAGAGTGGATGCACCTTAGCCATTGCAAACGATTTTGAGCTATGTCATTCAAGGTCTCTCTACTGCCGACTGTACAGAGGTGTGACAGCAGTAAGGTGTTTCCTTCAGACAACCAGCATAACAGCGATGCTGCCTTCCCACAAGGAGAGGTAGGGTTAGAAAAGGTCAACCCTAAAAATGCACACCTCGCCTTATCCCACGCATTTCCGTTTCCGGTGGTAAGGTCCTTTGAAGAATGGAGCTAACACGTCAGAGTCTCTAAGGCATACTAACTATTCTTTATGCATAATAAATAAGATAAATGGACAACAAGAAAAAAACGCAACAAAGATGAAGAATGAAGAAAGAAAAGAGCATCGATTGTAAAATACGTATGCATATATGTATATCTATATATATGATACAAACTATGTAAACATTGAATTACACTGTAAAACACAAACATCTATATGCCCTCATACAAAACAAGATAGAAACTGAAACGATTCACAATAAAAAAAAACTATGCCGATCCATACATTCTACACCAAGTATTGTGCCAGTAACCAAACAAAAGGTCAAAAAGATGAACGAAAATGCAGATAATATAACAATAATAATAATTACATGATATACAAAGAAACTAATATAATGGATTGTAACGCCTACGCAATAGTATACTCAACAAAATATACATGTGTTGAAACTATAACACTTTACTTGAAAAATAGTGCAAATACCATTTTTTTTTTTGGAGTAGAATATTAAGTAGCACTAATTATAATGAATTGAGATCAATAGTAAGCAGATATATATAACTATTCATTGGCTTGAATGATTGCCAAATAATGAACGAGGATTATGAAATGATCGTAAAAGATAACAAGGAGAGAAATGAATAATTAGAGCGAATGTATTTAGAAATTTTCCCGAATTTCGTTACATGATGTATCTGGAGTTCCACTAGAACAAATAATTGGTAGTCTATATAATATGTCCGTCAGTTAGCTACAACGTAGGACCAAGCACATTTATACATCGGTTCAAGTTGCCATACCTCATTAGCACAACAAGATGAACACCAGGTTCATAGAAGTAGTTAATTTAGTGGTGGTAATATGTAAAAGAAAGATTGTATATAAAGATATAGTGTAGGAAGGAAGAAAGTTATGAAGCAATTTTAATTTCAAGGTTTAAGGGAAGATAAAGAGTGTATACACCTATGCCACTGTAATCGATTCTGAGCCATGTCACATAGTCTCCAACTATTGGTTAGGATAGTCACGCGGACCTCTAACAGCAGTCAAGACCACTATATAATATGATTATTAAACAAATCCCGAAGGGCTTAAGTCAACGGTAAATACTTGATGTTGATGATGACTTACTAAAAATGATGAGTTTTAGAGATTAGCAGACGATGACAAAAACAGATAAGTAGATAAGTGAAGTAGTTTGTTCAAAGTGAAAAAAAAACCAACTGACCAATATACAAGTTAGTTAAAGTGAAACTTGACTAGACTGCTTCAGTGATATAATCATTAGCGAAAATATATTGATGTAAGGATGGCCCGTTGGCAAACTTAAGGAAGCCTAAAGAAGCCCAAAAACAGCCGAAGACATTCCATCCAATCACCACTAGGGGATTGTTCTAGAATGTCGACGTGTAGCTTCCCTATTGGATGAATAAGAGGGACCCCCTATGTACCTGTTGACTGTCCGAAATGATGATTTACTTTCAGCCAAAAACTAAAAATACTTGAGATTTTTGTACTATACTTGACACTTTGGGGAATAAAATTCCTACTTACTAGTCTTCAGTCTTTTTTCTTGCAAACTTGCGGGTTCAATCGTTCAAGTAGTCTAGTAGTAGGTGGCATAACAAGAATCAAAGCTCTAGATATAACAATTGAGTATAATTCAGAAACTCAAGACAACATACAGCTATGAAGTAATTACAATTTATGACCTTAAAGTATAGAAGAGACTATATTACACACACTAAATAACCGTCTATAAGAACGGTGTCTTCTGAGAACATTTCCAGATAATGTACGTGTTAAGAATATAATTCATCATTTCAGAAGGGGTTTTGTGGAGATTTCAGTATTTTCATAGTCAATTGACGAGATTGTAGGTCCTGGGTTCGGATCTCGCGAGGTTGGATCGTGGATGCGCACTGCTAAAGAGTCCCATATTAGGACGAAACGGCCGTCCAGTGCTTCCAGGTTTTCCATGGTGATCTATCTTCAATTCATCATTTGTCTAAGTTGATTTAACTACTTTTCAGACAGTCAAACTGCTTCCGAATGATTAAGTTAACAAAAATAAAACCAATTAACGGGATTTTGACAACCGAATAAGATTATTTCAGTTTATTTAGCCAACATAATGATATGATGAGTAAGAATTAGGTTTAACAGTCAAGTCTTCATTGATTGAAGAGGGTGTGACTAACAAAATCATTCTCTGTAACTACATATGACATTTTTACAATGTTACGATATTGCCCACAAATGCCCTGGTACGACCGAGAGCGGGGAGAGTCCGCTCTCCCTCTCGAGATACTCTCACATGGCAACGTGTATATAGCCTATGCCACAAAAGTCCTACTGATTGCCTTCTCGTGGCGGGGGTGTTGTTTACGAAATTGAGAAGACGCAAAGCGAATGTCCGACGCTTTTACCGGGTTGGTGGACACGGAAGTTTCACCTAGGGGAGTTGGAAAACCCTCATTCCAAATCAATGGTACACATGGGCTTCCTACAAGATTCTGAAAAAACAAATAGTGTATGGACCAATTATTGGTGACCAGCTACCATGAGACTGCATCTGTTAACGTTGCTCCACGACCTTGTGGATCAGACCTTTAGGTCAAAGGCTCCAGGTGTGGCCCCCTAAGAAAACCACCTGCTTTAGTTTGGGCACCTTGGCCGTATCCCAGCCCTAACACAAATGAAATGAGATTTGTGTGGCGCATATGTATCTGGTGCTTACCTGTACCAATATTTATGTGTTTAAATAAATAAATCAACTTTTATAGTTAATATTCAGTGAACAATCGTCTTATTTTATAATATTAAAAAACATATTCTTCTGGTACGTGATCTTGTCTAGGATTTAAAACCATTTGGCAGCCTACACCAATAATTCAGTCTTCTAAGTAGATATTATTTAGCTACATCATAGAAACATATATTCACATTTATTCTTCTTTGATAAAGTATACATAATCTATATAATTAATTGTACCTTCACATATCTAGCTTAAATTAACTTGTTTATAAGCAAAAATGGATAGTGGCTAGTAGCGGAATCCAGTTTGACGTCAGTTTCGTCCAACTTTGGACTCGTCAACAAGATGTACCTGCATCTCAGAGTTGATGTTCACTCTGTGATTCGAACCCAGTACCGTTGGCTTCAAACGCCATCGAGTTATCTACTTAGCTACTGAGTCCTAATAGCCACTTGCTTGTGTAATGGGGTAGGAAAATGCAAATAATTTACCAATGAAAATGAAATAGATGTGATTGATGGGAAAAAAGTTTCACATTAGTAGTAGTAGTAAACATACACTATGTTTGTTGACAATGATGTGAACTTTTAATGTTTCATAAGTGTGTAATATAATCAAGTGGATAGCTATAATTAATACCAATTAAAGGTACATATAACCGAATTGATAAACAATGGTAAAAGCACAGAAAGAATTCATCATCATCATTCTAATCACTGTTATGTCATGTTTTACAAAAGTCATAAAGAAAACCAAATAAACAAAATTAGGATACTACTGATGAAGAATAAGGAAAATGAATATATACAAACAAGATATTCATGAATTTGAACAAAAGATGGTAACACAATGATGAAGAGGTGTTCATGCAAACTAATCAACAAACTTTGAATTGTCAGAAGGGATTTGGTGAAGGTTTTAGTAATTTTATAAAGTTGAGATCATGAATCAATTGAAGCTAGACCACTATGGGAAACCTGGAAGCAATGGACGACCGTTTCGTTTTATTGTGGGACTCCTCAGCAGTGTGCATACACGATCCCGCCTAGCCAAACATTAACACCGTTGGATACCGGCTCAGTGGTCTATAGGTTAAGTGCTCTGGCGCAAGACTGGTAGATCTTGGGTTCGAATCTCGCGAGGCGAGGTCGTGGATGTACACCGCTGAGGAGTCCCATAATAGGACAAAACGGCCATCCAGTGCTTCCAGATTTTCGATGGTGGTCCAGCTTAAATTGACTCATGACTTCAACTATGAAAATAGTGAGATATCCATAAGAAAACCCTTCTGAATAGAAATAAGTCAAGATAGATTACTAAAGGTGTGCAGTAATGATAATAACGATAATAATAATCGATTCTTTACACAAATCAGGTCAAGGTAAATTAATCATTAAAAAAAATTAAGTTTATCATTTGCGAGGAAAGTAAACTTTGATAATAAAAAAAACAGGCAAAACACATCAAACCAGAGTTTCCAGTGACATTCTGTACAATGGAAAGTGATATCAGTTGAATCAAAACATAACTTAGGAAGATCTGTTAGTGTTATATCTTGTGGCCGAGTGGATGCCCAGTTAATGTATGACTTGATAAGACCGCCAATCAGAGAGCAGCAAATTATCCATTGGAACCGTGACACACGAAAACCGTACGAGCAGTCTAGAGCGCTTATCGATCCTGCTTCTGCCCAGCCCAGCCAGTTAAGTCCAGAACACCAATAATAGCCTCTGTGGTATGAATCATTGTATTTCAAACATACTGAGTTTATATACCACACAGACTGACCACATCGTACCAATAAAATAGAAAATAACATTTGTACAAGATTCAACCAAATGTGGTTGTGAATAGGGAGGAGGAGCAGTAATTAATAGACTCGGTATAACTCAGGAATGGTAAATATTACAATATTAGTCTATAAGTGAAAATAAAGCTTATAATGAGGGGAACATGAATATGAATAGTTTGGTTATTTAGAAATTACACGAAAAAAATTATATGCATAATACTGGTCTATAAATGGATCCAAAAGTTACCATTCACTATTGTTATCGGGATATAACAGGTAGAAATATATGTTAGTCCAGGTCGTGATACACACCACATTAACATATAAGAAGTGAACGTAAGTGAGAGGTAGTAAAATAGTTAAAACGCTAACACTAGAAGCATATTTGAAATGAAATAACTGAAATACGAAATGAAAAACAATCAGCTGAAGCCAAGAAAAAATTCGCTCACAATGAATGGAACTGATCAATGGTAAACAACACTGTAATAAGATACCATTAATTAACGTCAGTCAGTCAGCTACAACGTAGGACCAGGCACACACATGCATCGGTCCAAGTTGCCTAACTTCGTTAGCACAACAAGATGAACACCGGATTCATAGAAATAGTTAATTTAATTGTGGTAATATAAAAAAGATAGGTTGTATATAAGGATTTGGTGTAGGAAGAAAGACAGAATATAAAGCAATTTTAATCTCAAGGTTTAAGGGAAGATAAAGAGTGTATACACCTACGCCATTGTGATCGATTCTGAGCCATGTCATCTAGAGTCTCCAACCATTGGTTACGGCAGTCACGCGGACCCCAACCAGGTAGTCTGCATCTACCAACATGACTCAGACTAGAAGTTAGTGACTTCAAGCACTGATGCCACATTTTGGTTTGGCTGCCCCTCACTCTCTTCCAACCATCCTCTACACTAGTCAGCATAGCGCGTCGTGATAATCAGTGTCCAGGCATATGCAACACGTGGCCTAACCATCTCAGTCGATGAAGATTCATGACCTCATCAACTGATTTACCATCATTTCCTAATACCCTGTGTCTAACCTTAGCTCAGTCCGTATAAGAAATATAATGCAAGTTGTTGGTCAAATTACTCATCCTTTGACAGGAAAACATATACCTTACCCACATCATAAATCTCATAAATTAGCTAAATGTGTTTTACAAACTCATCAAGCTTGATTAGACCTTGAGGAAATCTGAAGCGGTACACATAATTGAACATCATAAGTAGTGAATTAATACCTATAATACTGGTAACATAGAGAAAGATTTATGGGAATAATGGAAAGCAAAAACACCTCTTAAATTAATGGGCAATTCCTTTTAATGTAACCAAGAAGCATCTAACAAGTGAATCTAATGCCAGAGCCTAATTATCTAAATTTCATTCTCAGAAAATTTGATAAATTTCATAAGAAACGCCACAATAAGAAACACAAAAGCAAAACAAGGAGCTTACCATTTTCTGCATATTCCATGACTAGATATACATGACGTTCAGATTCGATCACTTCATACAAGCGAACTAGTCGACAATAATAATAACGAAGACATATGGTTAGCAACAATAGCGATTATTTTAAAGACAAAAATCTGTACGTATAAGTATCAGTTGATTTATTTATTTAAACACATAAATATTGGTACAATTAAGCACCAGATACATATGCGCCACACAAATCTCATTTCATTTGTGTGAGGGCTCGAATACTACCCGGGTGCCCAAACTGAAGCAGGTGGTTTTCTTAGGGGGCCACACCTGGAGCTTTTGACCTAAAGGTCTGATCCACAATGCAGTGCAGTGGAGCATCGTGAGGAGATGCAGTCACATGGTAGCTGGTGATCAACGATTGATTCATACGCCATTTCTTCCCCCAGGATCTTGTAGGAAGCCCATGTGCACCACTGGTTTGGAATGAGGGTTTTTCAACTCCCTTAGGTGGAGTCGCCGTGTCTACCAAGTCGATTAAAGCGTCGGACATTAGCTTTCCGTGTTGTTAATTTCATAAACAACACCCCCGCCATGAGAAGGCAGTGAACTCATTTAAAGTTTTTTTTTCATCATTGTTTAAAGAAGCGTATATAAAAGCTAGATACACTTTAAAAGAAAACGTTCAATATTTATACATTTCAGTACTATGTATAGGATCACTAAATAACACATGTACATCTACATTAACCGACTAACACAAAAAATAAATACATGTATTAGTAGTAACTCAACTTAATTACATATAGTGTGTTTGTATTTGAGTTTACAAATCATTGATTCCCATACGCCTACCCCCCCCTCCGTTCACTTACGAAATAGAACGTATTACATAATTCTAAGCAGAGCTTATTTGTCAAATGTTAAATGCAATACTCATGTATTTAAACAGTAGATGAAATTGTATAATTAAATATATTTAATTAAACAGATAGAAAATTATATTCTAATTGAAAGTTTTATTATTCAAATCAATAATGATAGAGGGAATTAATAGAACTTGAATCAGATAGCCTATACCTCTCTATGTACAGTTCATTCCAATAGCCAATAACTTTATGGAGTAACGCTAATTTTTTTTTTTTTGGTTTACTGCCTCTCTTCTTTTTTTACCCACAACTCATGTAGACGATGATTGTATATATCTATAAAATTTACTCCGGCTATTTCAGTCAATGAAGAATAACACCGCTATCAAACTACTAGTTAACGAACCACTGCATTAATCAATTTGATGTTGCCCCCATCCACACACAAATACATGAGGAATCCTTCGAAAATATCTACGGTTAAAATCTTGTATTTTCATAGTTAAAATCATGAGTAAATTGAAGCTACTAGACCACCATCGAAAACCTGGAAGCACTGGACGGCCGTTTCATCCTATTATGGGACGACTCAGCAGTGCGCGTCCGCGATCCCGCACTCGCCAGATTCGAACCCAGGACCTACTAGTTTCGCGCCTGAGCACTTAACTGATAGACCACTGAGCCGGTATCCAACGGTGTTAATGTCTAACTTCAACTGGTCCAACTGCTGAGGAGTCCCATAATATGACGAAACGGCCGTCCAGTGCTTCCAGGTTTTCCATGATGGTTTAGCTTCAATTGACTCATGATTTCAACTACGAAAATACTGAAATATCCACAAAACCCCTTCTGATCTAAAATCTTGTAGCCTACTTTTGCCTTCTACTTATAAATTTCATTTTTTATGGCTATAAATTAAATGAGGGTGTTGTTGAACTAATGATAAGAACATGTCATCAAAACCACGGGTGGTCAAAGTTACTAAATGAGGTCTTCAAAATCCATACTAATAAAAATGAACGAATGAATTCACAATATTAAAAAAAGTATAGACTGAACATTTCACAAACAGAAAAATAACTGTAATTGCTAGGCTAGACAATAGGAAACGACATTATATCAATAGAACATTGATTGGACACTGCCTTTCTCTCTACACATTTTGGAATCATGTTCATATAGAACAAATAATAATACAGCTACAACCAGACAACACAAGTATATACAATCATAACTATGGTTTTAAACCCCCTTATCAACTATACATATACACATATATAAACTAGACTATCATGGAGACATGGGGAAAGTGACATGTTAAATAAAGTGTTCTCATCATCATCTTTTTTATACTAGACATGATTATTAAATAAATAAAAAAATTGAGCAGTAAACTCAAACTAAATAATCCCTTAGCAACTCCATTTTATAATAGCATTTCCATGGATGACTACCAACATTGAATTAATCAATTCTAAGTAAAATCACTTAAACCAATAATATTCGTGAGAATTGAATGTACTTGGTTTTGAATCAAGCTGTTTTTCATCATAAGAGAGATTAATATTAGTGAGTTTTTCAAACAGAAATGTAAGTAGAGCGAAATCCGAATGTAAAATCTATTGATTAGATACTGGATAACTTAAAAGCAAAGCTATACCTTCATTAATCAGTGACTTGTCTTGAAAGGAATCTTCATATGATCGAACCGAAATACTATCGACTCTATCTTAAAACAACACAATTGAGATTACAGTTTCCTATAATTTAAGTTTACTGACATACGAATGTTAGATGAAAGTATTTTAGGTAATAAACAGAACGTCCTGTCCTTAGATTCTATGGTAATTTATACTCATTAATAGGGAGTAACCAAAAATTTGGATAGCTCAAACTTGTGTTAACCCGTATAACTCAACAGGAACATCTGTTACTGAATAATATAAAGTATACAGCGATGTGTCGAGTTACTTAATAGCTATAAAAAACTTAACCGGTAGAACTAGATCAGTAATTGTTATGCCCCGATAACAATAGTGAATGGTAACTTTTGGATTCATTTATGGACTAATATTATGCATATAATTTTTATCGTATATTTGCTAAATAACCAAACTATTCATATTCATGTTTCCCTCATTATAAGCTTTATTTTCACTTATAGACTAATATTGTACGATTTACCATTCCTGAGTTATACCCAGTCTATTAATTACTGCTCCTCCTCCCTATTCACATCCACATTTGGTTGAATCTTGTACAAATGTTATTTTCTATTTTATTGGTACGATGTGGTCAGTCTGTGTGGTATATAAACTCAGTATGTTTGAAATACAATGATTCATACCACAGAGGCTATTATTGGTGTTCTGGACTTAACTGGCTGGGCTGGGCAGAAGCAGGATCGATAAGCGCTCTAGACTGCTCGTACGGTTTTCGTGTGTCACGGTTCCAATGGATAATTTGCTGCTCTCTGATTGGCGGTCTTATCAAGTCATACATTAACTGGGCATCCACTCGGCCACAAAATATAACAGTAATAAATGATGAGATTATGTACCAATGGTTATGATCACTAGGCAACTGAATGATCATGTTTGATTATTGCACAATAATAACTACAAAACAAAATTGTATCTTACCAATGTTTGGATGATTTAACATTTTCATAATATTAACTTCTCGGAATAGCTGATATTGAAAAGGAAAAAAAGTATAGAGAAAATTGAGCAATTTATATAAGCAGTAATCCAAAATACAATTGTTCAGTGAAGATCAGGAAAGTATTATTATTCAATGTGATCTGGCAGATTAAAATATAGATTCATGTACCGTTGCTGCTACCTTGATGTGGTGGTCGGGCTTGCCCATCGTGATGAACCAATCGAGCTATACTGGCTGGAAGGTCCTACCATGCCAGACAAGTAGGTTGAAGAACGGTAAGTCTAAAAGCAACAAACCCAAGGTCCGAAGGCGAAGTCGTACTGCTGAATGTACAGAGGTGTGACAGCAGTAAGGTTTCTCCTTCAGACAACCAGCATAACAGCTATGCTGCCTTCCCACAAAGAGGGATGAGGTTAGAAAAGGTCGACCCTAAAAATACACACCTCACCTTATCCCACGGATATCCGTCTCCGGAGGTAAGGTCCAAACAAGTACGGAGCTAGCACAAAAACTACCCACAAAAAGGTCTTGTGTGACCGACCTCAAGCAGTTGTCCCTTGGGCATTGTGGTCACACTCTCAGGTCATTAAGACCACCTCTAATCCAATTTCCTTTTCAGGTACCTCCAGAAGAACCCTTCCACTGTGTGGGCGACGGGGAAATGATAACTGCCCTTATACCTCTAACTCAAGACCTTTTGTCGTGTTGGATAATACATTAAATATGAGAGTTAGATATGTCACCTGGCTGACTGCCTAAAGTATATGAAGCAAGAATCAAAGCTATGACACTTCTTCTCCATAGCAATTGAGATTTCAATGCATTATTAAATGAAATCTGATGAATAAAAATAGGATTGGAACCCATGATTTATTAGTCATAACATTGAGTGCACAGTTCTATGATTCATCGGATTTGTATAGTTAGGATATCCATTTGATAGTTAAAATAACCTATTTCTTAACCAGTAAGTTATACATTCGAATTCTCGCTGCTTGTTTTACAAGTTCAATTTGGGTAATCGGATAGTATATGACCAGTCTTCACACAAACAGTGTGGTTTAAAGAAGACACATCTGTATCTTATAAATAAGTCACATACAATTTTTCTTTACATTTTGAATGAATTCACTCCTTACGGTCACACATAAAGATCCAGACAATAAGTCAACTGTAATCAACGTAGAGCCTGGAACAAATATGCGTTGGCCTAATTCGACACACCATACTAGCATGGAGAGATAAAACTGTCAAGATGAATAGTGGAGTTGAAATAATATAGTAGCGATGAGAATAAAAATAACTAAACATTGGGCTGGTTCGAAAAGTCGAAAAGAAACGCTATGTAGAAAAAAAACTGGAGCTCAAGATCTAAGTAGAGATAGAGTGAGTGAATAAGTTTTTGTTGTTAACTTCGTAAACAACACTCTTGCCGAGAGGAGACAGTGAATAGGAATTCTGTGACAGTGTTTGTATGCACGTGACCCTGTGAGAGCATTTCGAGAAGGAAAACTGGCTTTTCCCAATCTCGGCTGTACCACGACATTTGGGAGCTAAAAGCCCACCAACTCCGGCTAGACTGATTTCTCAGCAGTGATTAAAATAGTTAGTTGAGTAAAGCAACTTGTATTTGGTTACTAAGTAATAATAAGAAAATAATTAATTGGTTAAATAAATAAGCAAAGAAACAAAAACAATCCGATACCCCATCTCCAGGACAAGAAAAAACGTTCTCAATTAATCATGCAGAGATCCAAACCAAAATGGGAAAGAATTTTGAAGATTAGAATTGACTAAATAATAAATACCAAAATGATCATCGTATTACAGACACACACACAAAAAACAGACAATCTTTGAATGAAAAACTATCCGCCTCTACCCTGTAGTTTTTTTGTGGTAAGTTAGGTTAGGAACAAAAATCATTGAGATCATCATAAACATCAGGCGGACATTTGATTAACAACACAAATGTTAAATATTTTTTTCAATAAAATAATAATAGATCAGAAGGGGTTTTTGTGGAGATTTCAGTATTTCCACAGTTGAAATCATGAGTCAATTGAAGCTAGACCACCACCAGAGAAAACCTGGAAGCACTGGACGGCTGTTTCGTCCTATTATGGGACTCCTCAGCAGTGCGCATCCATGATCCCGTACTCGCAAGATTCGAACCCAGGACCTACCAGTCTCGCGCCAGAGCACTGGTCTAGCTTCAACTGACTGATGATTTCAACCATAATAATAATAATAATACGGTGATAAAGAAAGCACATTTATTGTTCAAACAAAAATCAATTAAAAGATATTAAAATATAATTGATTTTTTATGAAATACACAAAAAGTTCTCTATCTTTGTCTGTATTTATATTCGTGAGTGACAGAAACGAAGAAGGAGAGAGAGACAGAGAGAAAGAGCAACACGTATAATCACTATGCTAATATTATTGATTTTTGTTTTGATAGACAGTCTATTGTTTCAATGATTTATGAAATTCTGTTAGATACACATTAGCCCATTGGCCTTTAATTGTCATCATTCAATCACTTACTCTATCTCTCTCTCTCCCTTTACTTTCACGCTTATATACAAAACACACAAGGTAAGGAATAAAGAATAATAACAGTAAAATACTCGATAAGAAAAGATAATAATAAGCGAAAGGAAGATAGACAATGAATTTGGAAGACAATCAATATACAAAGAAAGAGAAATGATTTACACCATTTATTCTCTGACAGTATTTCAGTAAATTTGATAGAGATAATCGTTTCGTCATAGCTCTGGCTCATCCATGATGAAACGTCTAACAACTTAGTAGGGATTTTGTGAAGATTTCAGTATTTTCATAGTTGAAATCATGAGTCAATTGAAGCTACTAGACCACCATGGAAAACCTGGAAGCACTGGACGGCCGTTTCGTCCTATTATGGGACTCCTCAGCAGTGCGCATCCACGATCTCGCACTCGCGAGATTCGAACCCAGGACCTACCAGTCTTGAACCTGAGTGCTTAACCTCCAGATCACTGAGCTGGCATCCAACGGTGTTAATGTCTTACTTCAACCAATCCACCAAATCTAGCAACTGTCTTCAGTGAGTTGATATCTCTACAACAGACGTGTTTGAACTCCACTGATCACTGCTTTCCACTAGAACTCAAAGAAACATCCCTTGAAGTCAGTCACTACTGAACATATGATTATAGATCAGAAGGGGTTTTGTGAAGATTTCAGTATTTTTTTTTATAGTTGAAATCATGAGTCAACTATTATTTCCCACACAAAAATAACAATAAAGATGATTAGTACTTCAAGAATTTTAATATCATTGATTAGACAATATAACAGCTGTTGAGACTTGGGCTACATTAATAGATGTAAACTATTTGATTGATGTGTAAGTAATAATCATGATGGATAGTTGAAAACATTAAGTGACATTGGTTCAGAATTAGTAACCATAGCGGCATCTTTACTATTATCATTCATTAAATCTTGAATTTTTTTAAAATAACCTTACACATTTTACTCGGTGAATTCATTCTTTCTTAAATTATAACATACTTGATATTTAGTATTGTTTGTTTGGGTTCGAGTCTCAGAGTGAACATCAACTCTGAGATGCAGGTACATCCAGCTGACGAGTCCCGAATAGGACGAAACGCGCGTCAAGCTGGATACCACTGCTAGTCACTATCCATCTTTGCATACCGAATATTTTTTCTATTAGTCTCTGCTATTCTGATGTTTTTATAAAACATTTTATCTTAATATAGTATGGTATGTTGAACTGATGCTCATATGTACTAGATTCTATACGACTATAACTGATTGATCGAAGTCATTAAGGGAGGTGACAGATTAATAACTTTTAATTACTAGGTCACAGGTTCAAGTTTAACTTCAGTTTGAGCAGTCGGATAAAATGGCAACTTGGACCGATGCATATGTGTGCCTGGTCCTATGTTGTAGCTGACTGACTGACTGAGTCGGATAAAATCACAATCCTCCTATCTAGAACGACTTAAAGCTGAATATAAATGAATATGTACTTGATAAATGAATTGCATGTTAATGTTATAATAATTAATTCACTCACTTTTTTCAAACTGGCCTGATTAAGCTGAGTTTTATCGATCACTTTCACAGCAACCTGTAATAATATAATGGAGGGATGTTTTTACTTTCTTAAAACAAAAATATCTGGTTAAAGGTAAGCAATGATTAGTTATAGAAATTTGCGAAATCTTCAATTTACACACTAATTTAATAAATAGTTTAAATTAAAGTAGTAATGAAATTTGAAATGATAATCAGATTTTAATCAGAAGCTACTACTAGATGATGAAATTGTTCGTCTATGACCAACTACGCATACGCCCTCAAATGCCCTGGTATGGTGGAGAGTAGGGAGAGGCCACCCTCCCTTACAGAATGCTCTTACACGGCCACGCGTATATAGCCTCTGTCAGGGAAGTAATACTCACTGCCTTCTCGTGGCATTACTGTTGTTTACGAAATTAACAACACGAAAAGCCAATGTCCGGCGCTTTAACCGGGTTGGTGGATGTGAAGTGTCCACCTAGGGGAGTTGGAAAACCCTGATTCAAAACCAACCGTAGACATGGGCTCCAATATCCTGAAGGAACAAATGACGTATGGACCTATTGTTGGTCACCGGTTACCATGGGAGTACATCTGCTCACGATGCTCCACTGCCTTGTGGCTCAGACTTTTAGGTCAAAGGCTGTGGGTGTGGCCCCCTAAGAAATTCACCTGCTTCAGTCTGAACACCTGGGCAGTATCGTAGCCCTCACACAAATCAAATGAGATTTGTGTGGCACATATATATCTGGTGCCCCTTTTGTACCAATATTTGTGTTTAAATAAAACTACACATACGATTGATTAAAGTATATTAACAAGGTATGATGCTGTTTACTAGCATTCCAATTACAATTTCGTTCAAATATAAATCGAATGGACTACTTGAATATTTATGTTGATTAACACGAACTTATTTTTCAACGAGCTATATTCAAGTTAATATCAATTTTGGAGAAAAAACTATACAAATTAATTTACAAATTGAATCTGCAGGGATCACCAGGTAAGTAATAGTGTTTGACACAGGGTATTAGGAAATGATAGTAAATCAGTTGATGAGGTCGTGAATCTTCATCAACTGAGATAATTGGGCCACGTGTTGCATATGCCTGGACACTGATTATCACGACGCGCTATGCTGACTAGTGTAGAGGATGGTTGGAAGAAAGTTAGGGGCAGCCAAACCAAAATGTGGCATCAGTGCTTGAAGTCACTAACTTCTAGTCTGAGTCATGTTGGTAGATGTCAGTCAGTCAGCTAAAACGTAGGACCAGGCACATATATGCATCGGTCCAAGTTGCCATACCTCGTTAGCACAACAAGATCAACACCGGATTCATAGTAGTTAATTTAGTGTTGGTAGTAGTATATAAATTATAGGTTGTATATAAGGATATAGTACAGGAAGGAAGAGAGATATGAAGCAATTTTAGTCTCAAGGTTTAAGGGAAGATAAAGAGTGTATACACCTACGCCATTGTGATCGATTCTGAGCCATGTCACCTAGAGTCTCCAACCATTGGTTACGAAAGTCACGCGGACCCCAACCAGGTAGTCTGCATCTGCCAACATGGCTCAGACTAGAAGTTAGTGACTTCAAACACTGATGCCATGTTTTGGTTTGGCCGCCCCTAACTCTCTTCCAACCGTCCCCAATACTAGTTATAATAGCGCGTCGTGGTAATCGGTGTTCAGGCATACGTAACACATGGCCCAACCATCTCAGTCGATGGAGATTCATCACCTCATCAACTGATTTACCATCGTTCCCTAATACCCTGCGTCTAACCTCACTATTACTTACCCGGTTATCCCAGCAGATGCGAGCAATATTTCTAAGGCATCTGTGGTCAAATACTAGTAACCTACGAGTATCTTCTACTCTTAATGGCCATGTTTCACAGCCGTGAAGCAGAACAGAGCGAACTGATGCGCAGTATACTCGTCCCTTAATTGATAGACGGATATCTCGTCTACGCCATAGGTGACGTAAGCTGGCAAAATCCAAACGAGCTTTTTGAATCCGTGCTGGGATTTCGTCAGACACCAACCCATTAGGGCTGATCAGACTTCCAAGATAAGTGAAGTTGTCCACGCGTTCGACTACTTCACTCCCTATCCTTAGTTCGGGTGTTGACGCAGGCCAGTCCTGGAGTAACAATTTACATTTGGATGGGGAGAAACACATCCCAAACATCCTGGCATTATTACTGAGTTCCAACAGAAGACTCTGCATTTTGCCAGCGTCTTCACCAAACAGGACTATGTCATCTGCGTATTCTAAGTCGCTTAGTGGTCCCCCTGGTAGGAGATCAAATCCTGCAGATTCAGTCGAAGAGAGTGTTATTTCCAGCAACAGGTCTATAATGAAGTTAAACAAAAATGGGGATAGTGGACAACCTTGACGGACACCACTTGAGGTTGTAAAATCATATGACAGTTCGCCATAAGCTCTCACTCGACTAATAGTGTTCGAGTAAAGAGCCTTTACAAGGTTTATGTACTTCTCAGGTACACCTTTCAATGACAGACACTGCCACAGAACCTCTCGGTCTACAGAGTCAAATGCTGCTTTCAAGTCAAGAAAAACTATCATTGTCGGACGCCGATAAGCGTGCCTGTGCTCTAAAACTTGACGAATGGTGAATATGTGGTCGATACAGCTACGACCAGGTCTGAAGCCAGCCTGATTTTCTCGTGTTTGCAGTTCACGAGTCTTAGTTAGGCGCCCGATAATTATTGAGGCTAGTATTTTAGATACTATGTTAGTCAGACTAATCCCTCTATGGTTATCGCAGGATGATTTTGACCCCTTTTTATATATTGGGACAATCAGTGATTGTGACCAGTCGGATGGGATTACATCCGTCTCCCAGATTTTAGCCAGAATATTAGTCAACCTAATCGCTAAAATTGGACCACCATATTTAAAGACCTCTGGAGCCAATCCATCTGGACCAGCTGCTCTTCCTCGTTTCAGATTACCTATAGCCTTTTGAACTTCAAGTAGGGTCGGGGGGCCTACTTCAATGTTCCATTCAGGTTTTCTAGGAATAGTGGGTAGTTGTGCAGTAGCTGAAGGCCAGCTAAACTGCTCCTTAAAGTGTTCCGCCCATCGTTCTAAACGTTTGGGTTGAGAGCAGATAAGGGTTCCGTCTTTTTCGGAGATTGTCTCACTTACACTTGACTTCTTAATTCCGGTTTCTTTTATTAGTCTGAATAGTTGCCTGGTGTTGCCTACAGCCGCTGCCCTTTCCATCGCTTTTGCTTCCGTTGCCCACCACTGCTCACGATCGTTCCTTAGACTTTTAGTTAACCTAGATCTAATTTGTTTACGCTCTTCGTCATGTTCAGAGCCTGATGGGATGAGTTTACGCGAATCCATCAGTGAAATAGACTTAGAGGAAATCCACTGGTTTTTTGGAGCCCTATGGTTTAAATGACTAATAGATGTTACTGCTGTTTCCACAGCTGTTCGTATGTCTTTCCAAGCAGCATCTGGGTCAGTCTCGTTTACAGAACTGCCTAGATGTGAACTCAGTTGTTTCTGGAATTTGCATTTGGCTTTCTCGTCCTCCAGTTCAATCCTAATGGGTCTTCTTAGTGTATTTTTCCTGCGTCCATTGAGGCGCAGACAAATGCGCGCTCGTTGGTAGATGCAGACTATCTGGTTGGGGTCCGCGTGACTATCGTAACCAATGGTTGGAGACTCTATGTGACATGGCTCAGAATCGATCACAATGGCGTAGGTGTATACACTCTTTATCTTCCCTTAAACCTTAAGATTAAAATTGCTTCATAACTTTCTTCCTTTCTATACTATATCCTTATATACAACCTATCTTTTAAATACTACCACCACTAAATTAACTATTTCTATGAATCCGGTGTTCATCTTGTTGTGCTAACGAAGTTAGGCAACCTAGACCGATGCATATGTGTGCCTGGTCCTACGTTGTAGCTGACTGACTGAGGAAATTGTTAAGTGATTTTCGTAAAACATAATCTGTAAAAATAAATGTTTGAATTCTTACTTCACGTCCAGTTGAAACATGTTGTGCTAATTTGACTTTTGCAAAATTACCACGACCAAGTGTACGAATTAATTTATATTTCCCTACATTTGGTTGATCTCTTAATGATTTTCTGTCAGGATTATGTTGAAACGAAGAATTAGTAGCTTGATCGTTGGCACCAGTACATGAAGCTTTACGCATTAAACGAACTCCTGATGAATTGACAGTACTTGTTGTAGTCACACTAGGCATCTTTGTTACTTTTCTTTGATCTGCTAAAATCAATAATACGAAATGCCTATTCTTACTAGGAAAAAAATAGAGTATTAATATAACTGACTACGATAATCAATATGTCAATTGGCCAAGTGACCTACGAACTAGGACAAAATTTTCACTACAACATATAAAAAGGATCAACACAACTTCCATCAAACTATAGACCTGTCAGCCTCACCAGTGCCGTAGTTAAAACACTGCTAAGAATAATCAAAAAGATTATAATGACATCCGTGGAAACCAACAACTTGTTAAACAGCGAACTACATGGCTTCAAGAAAGAATGATATTGCACAACAAGCTCCCTTATAGCGGGAGCAATGGACAGAGAGAAATCAGTGAATGATGTCTACGTAGACTTCATCAAAGCATTTGATAAAGTGCCAAAAAATAAATTACTCTCGAGGCTGGGAAATCCAAGAATAGCCGGTCCTATCCTAAAGTGGGTTAAGGATTTCTTGGTAGGTCGTAGTCAGAAATTAAGAATGAATCCCAAATGATTCTCAAGAAAACTAATACTTAGTGCAGTACCTCAATGCTTTGTCTTAGACCCTTTACTTTTTATACCGTATGTAAATGAACTCCCAGGTAAGGTTGAGTCCCCGATGCTACTATACGCTGATGTAAAAATCTGAAGAGAAATAATAGGAGATGTATATGCATGTGCACTTCAGCTAGACTTAGATGTTTTGATTAACTGATCTAAAAAGTGGTTGATACCTATCAACGTGGTCAAGTATGTTTACATGCACATTGCGGATAAAAATGCAAATAGGTACAGCATAGAATAAATCAGTGCCCAGAGTCTGGTTTAACAAGGATCCTGAGATGAAAATGAGCCATGATCTTAAAACCATGGTCCATTGTCTTGAGGTCGCAGCCGAGGGGTTTAAAACCCAGTGAGTTTTAAGACGGACGTTTGCCAAGTTAGATACTAATATGTTCACCACAGTATATACAACCTTAGTGAGATACAAACTTGAAAACTGAGTTTAGGTTGCAAGCCCCTGTTTAAAAGGTGACTGGGATAGTTTGAGTAAAGTACAGAAGGCGACTACCGAGTAATCAATTCTTGGAACCTGTTACCTGGAATGGTGTTCACCTCTTCAACTGACTAATTCAAAAGAAAACCAGACACTCAGAAGCTTACCAGAAAAGGGCTAACACAGATTGTAGGTTTCCAATTCTCAATACACAAATCTGTATGGTATTTTTTTCAGCGAGATTCGTTTTATTAAAGTGTAGATGTAAATTACTTTATTTGACATAAATTCCACACACTATAGTCACATGACATCTATACTGCTGATGATGTTTACGGTAATTTTATAGAATTATAATAATCCCTTTATTCAGTACTTAGTACCAGGCACAACTGAATTTTCAGCATAAAATATTTTAACAAGATCCTACTTTTCGCTTACACTGAAAAACTCGTATTTACATATAAAAAAAGTATGAGGATATAAAAACGGTAATTCACATGAAAAATGTGTGCTCATGAGCAGCAGTTTTTTTGTTAGTGGAGGCATACACCATATGGGACAGATTGATGTTTTGACCTCTGAAGCGTTTCATCTTTTACCATAAATCCTGAACCGTGAGATACTGGTGTAACCTGTACCTGCCGAAAGGGGTTTAGATACAGTGTAAGACTTCATATACATTAGTTAGATCCAAAACCCCTTGTTTGTACTAAAGTAATGAAACGAACGGGACAGGAAGACCTAATCGAGTGACCTACCCTTTCGCCTTATAAGTTGGTCAATTTCCTTTCAACTTCATAGGTTATTCAGAAGACTCTATATTCCAGGGTTTCTATGGAGTCAGAATAATCCAAGTTCACTAAAATATTATTCAGCGGACAATGAACCCAAAAACTGTTGTAAGTGGGATGTTTATGACAAATTCGGGGTGCATCAAAGTTTAGGGCTTCATGTTCTATGAAGATCCCATCAACACACTTTACTTTATATTTGAATCCCTGCTTTTTAGCTTTTATTCTAGTATTAGTTAATAAACAACTATGAAATCAATGAACAAAAATATACTGATCGAAATTCCTCTAGTGATCACCATGAAATAGTTAATTCTAAAAATTCTGTGATGCTGAATTTCAACCTACCACGTTTAAAACTATATTCACTAGACTGCAGGACTTAATATTGCGGTATACTCTTCGGACGTTAAAAACAGATGATAACTAGTAGCTTCTAGTCACTAGTAAAACATTGGAGTATTCAGCTATTCAGATTCAATTGATACTGTAAGAACAGTTAAGAATTGAGTGCGTGCTAGGTGTGCTAGATTTTAAGATGGGAACAATTGGTTTACTTATAGAGTTGATTGGCAAGACAAAAAAGTGTGCTCAGTGAAAGACTATGTGGACCAAACGGCGCTTAAAATTAGTAACAAAAAGCAGTATTTTTTCTGGTGGATCCTTTTATTATGCTGTGGTGTCATATTTTATCTATTTACTCATTCAATCTGAGGTCTTGAGTCATAGTGTCGAATTCTATTGAAGTTATTGCAGTTTGCCTGACAGCTAAAAACTTCTACATTGTGATTAGGAATCGATTTTTTAACGAAACTTGCAGTAACCAATTTTCTTACGCATTTACTGGATACAGATGATGGGTATCAGACTATTTAATGTAGTTGACGTCAGCATCTCTAAAGCAGTTGGTTAGTGGCTAGCACGATACCTGGAACAATTGAATTACATATTTGAAGCCTTCCATAAACTCTAACTGCCGACCGGTATCGCTAGCCCTACATTATATAAGTGGGAATCAACGTGGAAGACAGCAAAATACTGCCTACCCCTCAGCTGATTTTCAACAACCGCTGCTAAAGACATAGCCAGACTGCAGGGACATAAAGAACAATGTGATCAAGTGAAAATAATATTGAATAAAAAACATAGAAGTTAGCTTTCGCAGTCCCCTTTTCCTGATAGCTCTCAGTGAACACGATTTTCATAAACGACTAATTAGGGATAGTAAAATCTGATGGTTGGATTTAGGGTTAATTTTTGCCAAGCAGATATCTTCAAAATAAATTCTTTAAGACGAATACACAAATCTGTCTAAAAGTCTACACACTTTCGTACAAGTACAAAACCAGCTGGTGGGGCTAGCCCCACTGATAAGTTAGCCAGAGAGAAACGGTCCTGACTATACCACCCGCTGGATCCTAGTCCAGTCAGAGATATGTAAGTGGATTTCCGAAAATAAAAACGATGACCTAGGTATCCCAACTTGCTTGAAAAACTACTTTGCTGATAAATGAGCTATTACGTAACTTGAGCTTAAGTTCTTGTTTTGATTATGGTAAATTAAAACATACTTGTGCAAATTATTGTTAAAATGAGTGTGTACATACCCAACAGCTGAGTTACTGGTATCCGATATCTGAGCGACCACACAAACTAAAAAACATCACATATATTCCCAACAAACAACCACATTCTATCAACCGCTCAACACTTGAAGTCAATCAAACAACCTTCAAACTCCAAAATGACTCAGACTGTTGGCGATGATATTAGGGATACTTTCACTTTATGCGTCCAGCAGCAATGAATAATCGATGATCTTAATTAAAAAAAGGCTTGAAGAACAAGCAAAAGTGAAGTAATAAATGGGAAATTGTCTCAGTTTCGAAAGGGTAGGAGGCTGGGAGTCCTGTGTTAGTTCTGACAATGGCGGTCTCTCAGTTGATCCAATTTTATTCTGAAAGGGCCGACAGATGGAACCTCGATCACATGCTGAATTACTGAATTCCATTCGTTGGTAATTCGACGAGCAAGTAATTTGTCTTGGGTTTGTGAACTATTTTAGTATCCTCTTGATCTCTCTGTTTTGGAAGACATGAAAAATTAGAGTATATCAGATAAAATTTCACCACTGGGTAATGTAAAAACGGTGAACAAGTCTCTTTCGGTTCTTCTATATGACAATGGAGATAGGTTGAGTTTGGCCCATTAAACATCATACGGGAGCTTTGTTATTACGGGAATCAGCTCAGTTGCTGTTTTTGAACCTTTTCCAACAATTCACTGTCTCTTTACAGGCAGAATCCAGCCACTTTTATACATCACTCGAGTTTAAGACGGACGAATACTTTGTGCAAAATCAATAAGATCCTGGCATCCACTAGCAAAAGTCCCTGCATATTGACCATTGGGTTCTAAATCCTTTAGCAACTATTGCACGGCAGTGTTCATTTGTCTTTAAGTTCTGGCTAACGATGAATAGTGGATCATTGCGTGTCTGGACAACTGGCAGCTCATTGTTATTCACCGTGTATGTAGCTGTACTTTTATGACCAATATGCTCAATAATGCACCTGGAAACCTTTCTCAGCAAATGCGAAATTCTATGCTGTTCAGATAAGTTCGCCGATTCGTTTTGAAGCTCCAAATTATCAGCTTCACCTTTTACTGTTCTTCATATCTCGACATCATCATCATGCAACAAAAATGACAAAGTACTAGAAGGGTCACTTTCATACAGAAGAGGCGACACTGACGCAAAATCTGAACCCTGACGCACATCGCTAACTACAGCTACCCGCCTAGAGAACGTTAAGTCCACCGGCACCCCCTATTGAGGCCCAACAAGTAAGTCCTTTGTTCACATAAATAAATTGCCTCCAATCCTGATTTCAGTCAACTGAAATAACATCCAGTCATGAAGGAATTTATGTCTCGTACATGTTTTGAAGACTTGAGATACTGGAGAATTCTTTAAGTCTCTTGTCAATCGACTTAGGGTTGCAGATTGATAAAAAATATGCTTAGAAGATTCACGAAAATATTTGTTAGCAAACATGAATGCATTTTATCGATCTCATGGATTTGTCTATATCACTCACATTTAGCAGACCAAAGGCATGGAGTTGTTTAATGCTCAGTGTCCAGTGTGTGCGTTCGGGACTGGGTTTGTATGAACTGTAAGGTATGGTATCTGTACGGTTTATATATATTGCTGAAGTGATTTCAGAATAACAGAGAGTTACCATAATCATCCTCTACTAATAATGCAGTATTACTGTCTCCTTACAATGAATAAATAATTCCCATTCTCTTAATTCCTCCATTTATGTACAAATACAAGCGTACACGGATACTTAAAGATTCCTATACAATTTTTTTCTCGTGCAACTTTCCAGGCTTGAGAAGGATAGATGCACAAATATTTCAAACTTCTTGAAAATGATATTTTGTGTCGTAATTACTCAGTAATCTTAACCTGTTCCATATTCTTTCCTTATTATGGAGAAGGGTACAAACCCCTTTAAAGAACCACCGTGGAGAATTTCATGGACTCCTTGATGTAGGCTGAAGGATGTGTAGTATAGTGACTTCTGGATGCAGCACAAGCCATTTCAATTAGAGGCTCTGGCTTTATTGACCAACTTGATAAGGATTGTGTGTGTATAATATCTTGTATATTTGCTCTTCAGGCGTTTAGTTTGACTTCGTCTGAAAAAAATCTAAGCTAGTGAAATCCATATGTAAGTCAAAGATCAGAACCGCATAGTCATTTTTCCCTAACAGCAACATATAATAGAAGGTTATCATGCTATCCTCATAATCGGTCAGTATAAGATCTAGTAAGGATGGCTCGGGGTCCGAATCGTGCGTTCGTGGGGGAATAATGTACCATGAATAATCATTTTGTTGAATAGAAATTGATTTACAAATCTCTCATTATTTTCATCTTTCTCCCCAAGTCCATGTCTTCTCATGATATCTTCATATCCGGTGATTTTGATTCCGACTTTTGCGTTTAGATCTACCATTAGTTTAGTCGGGCTCTTTCTTGAGCACTTCGCCATGACTGATTGCAGCCTTTTATGGAACTGATTTTTAGTATCGCCATTTCTATCATTGTTCAAGAACCTCCAAATCGTATCTCCTTAATTTCGTTGCATTTGACTGGTCTTACCAGCCACTCAAATCGTCTGAACGTTCCATATGCCTATAAAAATTATTGTTATGATTGTTAGAAGGGACATCAGCCGCGTGAATTTTGAAGAATCTGCCCTTTCATCATGAGGCGTCGTAATTCGTCCTGCAACGTTCACATCAATGTTTAAATGCTTTTATTTGTTTAATCTCGTATGCGTTTTTTTGACAAGAAATTTTTCAACGGTATGGGTTTGCTGAACTCATGCACAACCCTCGACCTTTGCGTAAAGTAGATACTACTTATAAAATATATTCAAAATTAGTTCAAATATCTCTTTTTATGGAATAAGGTGTTGCTCAACACTTGCTTGAAAGTCGTTGCAAAGGGATCTAACAAATCCAGTTACTTTTTATCTTTCAATTTCTTTTTAAACTCCAGTTGCTTGTTGGTGCATACCAAAACCAGTACACTTCTTATTTATTCAGGCAATTGTAGATTATTATTGTTGTAATTGTCTCGTGTTATAATGATTGTTGACTTTAAATTGATCGTGTCAAGAATTGATAACAGTTCGACTGATATTCCAAAACCGGGAAGCGATGAACGACTGTTTTTCACTGAAATGACACTCGTTGACAGCGAGCAATCATCCTAGCGGAATCTAAAACGAGTGTTTTGCTCTATTTGTAACTCATCAGCTGTGAGTATTCTAGCCTCTTATGTACAATAAACTCAAACATAGTGCTTTTCTTATTATTAATCAACCCGTTATCGATTAAGCTACTAAATAATTCAACTGGGATAAAGTTGTCAGTAAGAGTTTGTAAACTTCTGTTATTGATCAGTCTGTGTTACTATATGAACTTAGTGAGCAGATATGTCATTATTATCGAACCATTTATGTCTTTTGTTGTTTGGCTAGCTAAATCCACATGGTACTACTAAATTTATTAGGATTACTAGTTTTGTCAGTGATTTTCGCCACTGAATAATCTTATTCGTTTACCATTTAAAATCATGCAGTAATGGACAACTGTTTCGTAGGATCTCCATACAACACTCCTTCATTTAAATGTTTTTGCTTTCCCAATGTATATACGTTCATTTTTGTAGATCTTACTTTCTTGGCTGTGATTAACTTTTAAGTAAAAACCGCAAATGTTACAATTACTCTTTAGTTTCTTTCTGAAGTTGAAATGTTCCCAATGGTGTTGTATCTAGTGAATGTAATATCCTACTAGAGAATCGATCATCGATATACATTTTTGGTGATAATTCTTATTTAGCAACATTTCATAAATGTTATATGAAGTTAGCAATATAAGTTTCTAACTCCTTCTTTGATTTTCATAATTGAATATCTCTGTAGCACTTTGGTGAAACGGTGGTTTAATTTAGTTAAAACATTGGGCTTTCATGTATTGAATTACTCGCTACAAGGTTGCTCATGACCTTCTTCGACTGTAGCAGTTAGTAGTTTTCTTACCTTTATGTAAAACATTCAGACTGAATCTAAACTAAAGATCTTTGGCTGCAATACTGCGTGCGTGATTGAGGAGACGCATTTCTGAGTAGTCTCACATTCGAATGAAACGAGTGCCTAGTGTTTTCAGATCTTTATTAATAGTCTAATTTCGATCACTTCATGATTTCAATGAGATTCTCATTTAACTACTTTTGACATGTGTATAAAAATTTTCGATTATAGTCATTGCATACAATTTAGCTACAATTTATCCATTTTATTGAAATCACATTTAATTTTTTCGGCTAACTGATCACACATTGATTTCATTCGAGATTGTGTGGATAGCGTTGAAAGTCATTAGGCAATGGATGATAGATGTCATGTAGTTGTCAAGAACAGAAAACATTCACAAGAAAATCGTTAGTAATAACTATTTCCAATACCTTATATACTGATTAAAAAGTAATCAGAACAACATATGTAAGCGAACAATTGTTTTCAATTAGATCGTCATCAGGCTTTACTCTAATATACATGAATATTTATATGAAAATGTTAGACCAATCAAGGCTATTTGAGTCAATAATAATCACAATGAAATAGAATACGTTACCAAGCATAATAATAGTTAAAAGTACAAGTTGATAGTGGGAAGACAGGTGTACTGATAGTAGCAAGAATAGTAAATTATGATAACAAAAGTCTTATCAATAATTAAACATAAGAATTAAGAGGTCAAACGTGGGTAAATAGTCTGGAATAGTAATCACAAAACATTAAAATCATTACGTAATAAGAAGTATGTAAGTAAATAGATAGTGAAGAATACAAACGGAAAGAGGTAGAAAATTACAAACAAACAAAAAAAAATGATAACCAAAATAAAATTTTTTACAAATAATAATAATGTCAATTATTAAGTTATGTCCGGCCATGGAAGGGATAGGGGGGTTACGAATTTCTTCTGTACACATAAATTGGGATGGAATGTACGAATCCCTATGGCTTCTGCTATATGAAGTAAAAAGTAATCCTTTAATCAAACACAAAATGCTTTCATGTCAATGATGTAGTTCAATTTAGCTAAAAAAGTTGAATGGAATATTTACA